CCGAATACCTCTGTACTGGGTTATTGAGTAAACTCGAGAAAAACACGGTGAGATTCGATGAGGAATTCACCAACGATTCTGCCCTAGCCACCGAGAGAGAACGATTTCCATTAGTTTGCGACGAACCAGGCACCTCCTTAGAATAGGGGCCTATCTCTCGTTCCTAGGGACCGAGATGCTACGGTTCACGAAGGACTCGTTAGCCCCTGACTGCTGTGTATCATTCATCATCAAAATGTTTGCTCTCCTCTGAGGAGCAAAAAGAACGCGAGGAGCAGGTACTCGCCGCCGCATCCTTGTCCTGCCCCGACTCGCCTCAGAACGCCGCTTTGCTGTTGGCTTTCCGACCGGCGAAAATGAGCGGAGGAGGCGCAGGAGAACAGTATCGAGACGCGGAGAGGGATGATGATAGAAAAAACGAGTGCCATGAAGAGAGAGCGGGCTGTCTCGTTGAGCACCGAAACTGTGAGAAGCCCATACAGAGTGTAGCAGCATCGTTTGTTGCCAACTACTTCTTGCCTCGTCGGGAAAGCAAACAACGGCGGCTGCGGGAGCGGGATTCAAATTGAGTAGACGACTTCAATGCGGGAAGGGAACAAGTGGGGAGATCAACGAGCGGAGCGCAGGGTGGGACGTATGAGGGAGTGCCAGGCAGGCAGGCAGGCAAGCAGGATGAGGTAGTCGTCTCGTCGACGAAGGTCGGCCCGTGGTAGGCGTATGAGAGGAAGAAAGCTAAGTGTATGAAATATTTCCCTCGAGGCTGCCGAGAGAACAATATGAAGCGACGCATGCACAAACGCTCACGGATCACAAGCGAATGTAAAATAGGAAGAAATAGCAAGTGAGTCGAGTGAAAGCGAACAACCTCTGAAACTCGCGCGCTCCCGACCCGAACCCGGAGCTCCCCGCGCGCCAGGAGACTTAAAAGAACTTTATTGTTCTGGCGCTCATTCCATCCTCAGAGTCTCTCGACTTATTCGGAGTGGAAGCTGTACCAATCGTTCGATAGGTCGTATCCCCATCTATCTCTTGTTCACCAACCGCAAGACGATGGCTCAACACCATCGGTTTCCAGGTCCTCCGGCGATGACCCACGGTCTTTTCGCGCTCTCCTTTTGATATAATCAGCCCATGAGGCTCGTTGGCCCGCGTAATTTCCAGCATAGGAGAGCGAATCGACGCGGTCGCTTGATATCACAGTCAATCAAGCGGACCCAACTTCTGCTAATTAAGGGTCATTTGATCAATACGCGAGAAGGAAGGGCTCAAGGCTCGGATTGAACTGACTCAGAGGAACCAGGCGGCTCAGCAGATTCGATTCTCAAGGTCCGCTCGTGCCACATAAAATTTCGACGCAGCGTCATGCATGTGACTAGAAAGTCTTGACTCTGCTACGCTGATCGGTGTACCTCGGCACCGGCATTCACGCGTAAGCTCTCGCCGCGCCTGCTCGCCAGCGGGGCTCCAGTGGAGCGAGAGGACTGAGGTGCACTCGAACCCCTCGTTCGGAGTCTAGCAGCATCCCATGAGGGAAACAATCAGCGTCTAGTGTGCGGAATCACTGTGCTCTCAGGATTTGGAGAGATTCCGTATGTTTTCGTTGCTCATGTGTACGGAGAAAATTCAGGGAAACACAGAATTCAGCATCGACGCAACTCACCGGGCGTCATGGACGAATTGTATGTAACTCCGAGAGCGAGCAGCCTCGAAATTCAACTTTCCGTCTCCGATGAAGTAGATTTCGAGTGGGTTCACGGCGATGCCAGTCATTTCTGTGGAGCCATACTTGAGCGTTGTCGAGATTTCGACACCCTCGTATGTCCTCTCTGTAACTTCAGCTTCCATATTGACGGCAAACCTCGAGATCTTCTGTTCCAACACCTTCAAGAAGTTCATTTCTCCTACGAGCACGGCTGTGTGTATAAATGCTCAACCTGCAAAGTTCAATTCGCCACCAGCAAAAACGCCGGAAGCCATTTGAACACGTACCCGAAACACGTCCTCAAATGCTCACTATGTAAAGCCACTTTGGAGAGGAATAAAGTTCGCAGTCACTTCGCCGGGGAGCACTACCGGGAGTTCTGCACGGCCCTCGCCGAGGAACTCAGCGCCGCGGGGCTCGACGACGTATTGCAACACGTAAAAGCTTACGCCTCTATACGTCGCAACAACCGCCAAACATCGCTGACACCGGCAGCGACGAACATTTCGGCAAACGCCCTGACCAAGAGCAAAAGACTCATATGTGGCCAGATTTGCGACTTCGATTTCAGCGAGGGGGATTGTTGTACGATCCATGAGAAATATCGGAAAATTTACAAGCGCTACACTAGGAACGACATCTTCCACTGTCCAGTTTGTCTGAAGGGCTATAGCGATATGCCCGGTCTCGCTATGGGACATCTGATACTGGAGCACAGTCTACAGCTGCTTTGCCTCAAGTACTCGTGCTCGAACTGTGATGAATTTTTCGGAGACATTTTCGAAGCGACTAATCACGTGAAGGAAGGTCACATCCTCTACTGCAACCTGTGCTCATCTTATCTTCAGGACATTCCGTCCGTCCGGGAGCATTTGAACCGACAGCATTGCAGTCTCGTCATGGAGGTCACCGATAGAATTTTGAGTATCAGTCCCAAGCGGCACATACTCAGTGAGCTGACATCTATTTGCTATCGAGACGGGTACCTGAAATGCATGTCCTGCTCGCAGAGAATGCTCGCCAATGCAGAAGACTACGAGAACCACATCATTCTGGAGCATTTGGACTTGCTGCCAGCTCGGTGCCAATGGTGCCACTCGGCTCTTTCGGCTCGGGATGCGGAACGACACGCAACGAAATGTCGTGCTGTCCCTCAGAAAGCCGCCCCCTGTTTTGAATGCAACCTAGAAGATTGTGGAGCCCCGATCGAGTCAGCAGCCGAGCACTTCAAACAAACTCACTGGGCATTAATCAAACCGATCGTCTCAGCGATGAAGGAGCGCGCCCGGGAATCGTATCCAGAATGGTTCGCCAATCTTTCGAATTATCGGGACCGCATCTCCTCGCTCCAGACGATGCTGAGCACGATCTCTCCGGCAATGGTGGACGAGCATTGCTGTCAAGAGATCTGGACAAAACCTCAAGCTCTATTCGAACACATAATCTCCGATCACGTGGCTCTAGAGGAACCGTGGTTCCTCTTCAAGGTTTCTGCCAATCCGAGCCAGAGACTGGCCTGTTCGCTCTGCGAGAAGCCGGTTTTCGAAACCACCTGGATATTCCACGTCATTGAATATCATGGGCTGATCGCTCAAGACGCCATCGATAAACGAATTTCGGAAATCCAGTCGCTATGTGGGTTCGAGTTCGCGATCACTCCAATGATAGATCTGCCCCTCATAAAAATCGAGATGAAAGATGAACAGGGAAGCGTGATCGACCCTGCGGGCTCGGGGGCGGCTGATCCGAATCCCGGCGCCGGGTCCACCTTCTTCGATGCCTCGCTGAGCATCGACGAGGCGAATGAGGAAATCCTTGACGTCAAGCCCGAAATCTTCAACTTCATCGATGTTGCGGAGGATGTCGTGGTTGAGAGAAACGCACTAATGACGAGTTCTGACATGGGCAAGCGATCCCGCAAAAGGAAAGGATCAATCAAAAAAAACATTCCCCCGAAGACAGAGCCAGCGAGAGTTCGGACTCGATCACAGCGGTCGGTCTGCCTGAATAGAATCGACAACCTAGGAGACTCGTGAAGTGAACGGTCCTATGATCCTGTCTGGGAACCTATGTATCTTGTCGGCGATCGGATAGCGAAACCTCATTACTTTCACTAACATTCCCATTTTAGCCAAACCTTATTTAATTCTATAGGCAAGATATTTATTGTGCTGCTCTTGGGTACCGAATAAAATACTTGAGTTCGGAGATGAGAGGGAATTTTTTCATTTCTGCGGGAAATCCGGATTCTCGGGTTGAATGGGGTTTTAGGTTAAATCTACGCGGGTCCTCGTCTCGTCGTTAGCAAATCCTTTCTCCCTCCACGGGCTTTGTTTGAAATCTAAATCTCCTCAAACAGCGAACGCTCGCCTGTGCTGCCATACGAAAGTATCGATCCGACTTGAGCCCAGGATCCCCGACAGAAATGACAAGCAACCCTTTGCTGACTTGTTTCATCCGTTCTATATGGAGCTAACAAGGGATAAAGTTCGCTCTCGCTTTTTTGTCGGAATCTTGACATCTCCAGACAACCTCTATCATTAGGTTGAGCTCCGTTAGATTTTCTCCGAGGATTTTGTGGTCTCGTCCTCAGTTCGGGAACTATCTCGGGAGCTCAATTTCACTCGTGCACGGATGCCATACCGAGAGAGCCTACCAGCTACTCGGGACGTAGAAGCTGAGCTTATCTGAGTGAGTGGAAAGAGACGGATTTTTTTTCGCCCTCTGCCGCTTTTCTCGGCTAATTGATTCGCTCCGTACGGAGGATCCGTAATAGGAAGTCTCAGAATGAGATTTAACTCTCGAATTCTGTCGCGCTTGAAACCCGAAATTCATCGGCGTCGTGAGCTCCTCGAGTTTCTCTGTGGTCAATTTCCAGATGGACAGTTGCTCAGCTAATCCGGGGGTTCAAAATGTTTCGCGGAACTCGGGTCAATTGTTGACCTCTCGTATTTATGTCTAGGGGATCGCCATGTAGAGCCGGGGCAGCTCGTTGCCTATCCCCGAGAAATCCACGATGATGGTCATTTCTCATTTGGTTCATTGTCAGAGCCAGCCCCGTCATTCATGAGCGGGTAGTTTGAATTTGCGCGCCAAAATACCTCATGTTCGTTCAAGACTCGATGAGCTTGGCTTCCCCTTGTTTTTATTCCGAATGGCAAGAATCGGTCGTTGGACAAGGTCATGCAGCTTTTCGGATCAAATTCAGAGCATAACTCATCTGGCAACGGTAGATGACAAGAGACACGTAGCCTACCTAGCTGACAGCTGAGCGCACACCACACACAGAGCCGGGAATCCATGTTTGTTTGTGCCGGTGTGTGATTCGATCGCAAATCTGACTGCGTGGAATCAACATGAAGCGATTGTTTCACTTTCTACTCGTTCTTGGTCTGGCCAGCATCCCAAGCTGTACAGGTCAAGCCTCGCAGAAGTCCCCTCTGAAGGAGATCACCGTCGCTGAGCTCAAGTTACGAGCCATCGATGAAGTCAATGCCGCCGACTGGTCTTCGGGATTCGAGAGTGTAACTTATCCCAACAAAGCTAGTCCTCTGACCATCACCGACGACCAGCGATTCCAGATGAGCTTCGCGATCCGAGACTCCGACAGAGTAGATCAGCAGCCGCATCAAGTTTTCGTGCGGATCGCATCAGCAACCAAAGAGCTTATACTAGTTCCCTTCGTCGACAGTCTGAAGTTCTTTAAGCTGGACTTCGATCTCAAGAGTAAAGCAGGACAGCTCGACAACGCTTCTGGTCGCTATGAAGTCTCGCTGATTGTAGGCGACGCAAAAGTGAAGCCTATTCTTTGGACAATCGCTAACGTCCACCTGAAGTTCAATGGAGAACCGATTCGAATTCCGGATTACTACGAGCAGAAGCCGGAGATCGTTCACATGTTCCGTGAGCCGGAAAAACGCCCTCACGTCTTCGTCTCGAACGTTTTCTCGCTGGCGGTCGTATTGCTGTTCGTCGTGATGCTCCTGCTCTGGACTCGAGTCGGCATCTCCTTCGGGAATGTCACCGCATCATCGCTACTATTCCAAGCGTCTCTCGCAGTCATCCTCTACATTGAATATTTGTTCTACCTCGGTAACGATATGTTCACCACGTTACGATACCTCACCTGGGCAGCACCGTTCGCGCTGTTTTTCGGTAGGAGAATGCTAGCTCATCTCGCGAAAATTGAGGAACAATGAACATGGTATTCAAGGCAGAGAGTGATTTCGGTCGTGAGGACTGTGGACCAGAGTCAACAGAGCTGTAAAGATTTTGTTAAATAAGACACTTTTATTCAAACTCGAAGCGAGAATGGTAAATTCGCCGAATTCCTAGAATTCTATATTTATGTCAGCGTGGAGGGTGGAGTGTGATGAATGTTATGCCGGGGTGAAAACTTGGAATAAATATATCATCCATCTGAATGGGGGATGCGAAGTTATTAGACACTGTGGCCCCTCGCAAAGGGATCAATGGAAAGCCCGACGGCGGCTCCCTCGAGTCATTGGAGACGAGTTCACATGCTCGACGGGTTTGAGCTAAATCTAAAGGTGACCTGTATATCCTGACGGCTCGTTTATTGAGAAGATCATTCGATTTTTATGGAAGCGCTGTCGTGTTCCCTCACAGCACACACCCGCTGCTCAGCCTATGAATTCCACTTACAAGTTGCCTCCTTCGAGTTAGTGTCTCGCTCGGTTCGTATGCGAGCAGAAATTTTGAGCGGAAGAAAATTGAGAGAGGAATTCGCGGGAAACACTTCCCATTCTGTCCTTCTTGAAGGGAGCTTTCCCTAATGAATTTGCTCCCGCTCAGATCTCCGGGTGGATGTGTTGGCCTCGATATGCAAGGCCTGCTTTCTACTCAATCCATCTGCGCGTGACGGCTCGCTGATCTTGACCGAGCTAGCGACCGACCGACCGACCGGCCGAATGACTTGCATACGCCGAAACCCGTCCAAGTTCGAGTTTGTGTAGGAGTCGAGTGTTGTAGCAGCAAAGTACAGCATTCGAACCCAACTGTCTAGCACACCAGCCAACCATTGAGCTAGCAAGTCAGCCAACCTGCTAGGTAGATAGACAAGTAGGTGGAGAGCTTGGTGGCAGTGGTATTATAAAAACCATTAGTACCCTGGCTCTATCCCACTGCCCTCGCGGAACGAGGACCGATGGAGAAAAAGATGAATGGAGTGGAGCACTGGCTGCCGCTGCTGCTGCTCCGGCAGCTGCAGTAGCAGCAGTAATGTTGCGGTGCTAGCGGCGTGGTCACCTGGGAATGCGAATGAGCGATTTCCAACGATAGGCGAGGAGATGGATTGTCGAATACAACAAGGACTCCAACACATTTCCGCGGAGTGTGCGGATCTTACAAGCCATAGACGACTTCGACGATCTAGGAGCTTCACAGAGATATGTCCCGCCGGCAACAATCAGAACAGATTCGGGAACCATGTTAGATCATCTATCGACGGAAATCAAAGCCAAACATTCGAGAATCATCGGATTCTCGCGACTTCAGTATACCGTGCCGTATCTTGAAAAACTTCCTGCTCTCTCGATAGGGTTCCGATAACCGATCAAGCGACACTTCCTCTCGGGGTCAGCAAAAAGCGGGCTTCTTACTCCACCTTCAATCGTTCGAGCAATCGTTCTCTGGATTCGGCGCTCCCCGGGATATGTCGTGCCCCTCAACTCCAATGAGGTTATGCGTCCTTGATGCGTCACGAGCATGCCTCAACCAGAATGAGCTGAGATCGACAGATTCACAATGAATGATCATGATTATCTCGGAGACATTGATAATTAGGTACTATGTTGGGGCGATCTGAAATCTCGCAATATGCGAGGGTAGCCCGAATTTTCCGCGAGATTCCCTGGCAGTTTGGGTGAATAAGTTATCAATCCTGAACCTTCGCACAGCTTCAGATTGCAGAACCTCGAGGACGCCCTCTCAATGCGACCAAGATATGGTTATTGCAGCGAGGACTCAACAACGAGTTTCATCATTGAGCTTCCTGGTTGTCGAACTATCGTCGGAACGACGCGACGGTCATAATCCGGATCCGAAGGATATTCGTCCCGTGGCGCGTAAAGCTCGGTTTAGGCTCGATGTAGGACACCCGCCATACGGAGAGATCATGAATCATGGTGATAATGATTGAGATTTCAGTCTGTCAGAAGATCGATGATCGACCGTGCAAATATTCGCGTTTTGCCACAGATTCACTATGCAGACGGATGAGTAGACGGTTTTCGAGAAGCGATGTGCATCGCGGATTCTGCGGTTTCACACCAAGTCCTCGCTAGTTCAGAGTTGACCCTCTCGGAGATCGATGAGCTCGAGTGCTGATTCTCGCCTTTTCATCAAAGATGAATCGCACCCACTCGAGTTCCTCCAAAAACGAGATGCCCTACACCCCGCAGAAATATTTCACAGAAGTCCTAATCGATTCCTCATGTGGCCCATCGATCGGTGAGGAGAGTTTAGTCAATTAGGCTCGAGGTTAGTCAATCGATCAAGCGACGAGCATGCACCTGTCGCCGTGTGCTCATCAGATGCGTTTCGAGTTAGTCGTGAAGAAAGTGGAAGAAGTTCCCTGATTCTAACAGCCGTTTCGGAACCCAAGTCAAGCCATCGAACGCTAATAATTCAGGTGGTCGCAGATATTCATGCGGAAACGCTCCCGTCTACATCGTGAACCCGCGGCGGAACACGAATATTTGCGCGGTCGATCATCGATCTTCTGACAGACTGAGATCTCAATCATTATCACCGTGATTCATGATCTTTTCGTATCACGGGTGTCCTACATACATCGAACCAAAACCGGCTTTTATGCGCCATGGTACGAATATCTTTCGAATGTCAACAGAGAGCATTCGAATTCTCGGAGACGCGCAAACGTATCAACCTCCCCCAAGGCTCGCGGGGGAATGGATTCTCCCGCTCGTTCGCGCTGGAGCATCAGGGACAGACGATCAGGTCCCGTGCTTTGGGTGGCTCGCCTATTGGAATCGAATGTCGTGACCACCGACATAGAGTCACCGAAAGGGTTGTCTTCTCCCGACAGTCTGAACTACACGCAGGATGTAAAAGAGAAACTTCGGAGGAAAAATTACGAGAATCTTGGCTTCTATCACGTCGCTGTAATAGGAATACATCATTCACGAGGGATCTGATCGTTCAGCTCCTGAATATCCAACTTCATTAGACCGACATAATTCAACGGAGATGAAGACGTCCTCCCGAGCTCATAATAGGCTGTCGCTTCCTCCTTTCCTTGCTTTTTCGTTACTCCCGCTCACCAGCCTCTACAGACTGACTAGCCCGGCAGCAAGAAAAAAAGAACCCCGTTCCCTCATGAGACCAGCGAAAGCCATCCTTCATATTCGTTTCTACTACTGCTCTTCCTCCGTCTGCTCCCCTCCTCAGAGCTAAGCCGCTGGAACAAAAATGTTTTAATTTTTACCCTGAAAAATGAAGTGTCTAAAATTTAAAATTGGCTCCGTCCCGTGAGCCGCTCATTCTCGCTCTGGTTAGGGGAAAAAATACTGCTGGCTCTCTAGGGGAGGGACGACCGTTGTGTCTCTTGACACCTTACTTCGCTCCTTCGAAACATAATCCACTCGTTCCGAGCATGTAGATTAGCTTATGGGATAAGTTATTAGAGGAAATGCGTCGGAGGTGACGGATGGTGATTATTTCGAAATTTTTTCTAGGAGCGGGAAACACTCTCCGTCTCCTCTAGAGCGGAATCAAGGCCAATCATTTTCGTGGACGGCGCTCCACCTTATTCGCAGCTTGCTCTGTCCCTCCAGCCCTTTGGAATTCACACCCCTTTGGTGAGGATGAGAATCCTAGAGACAATTCAAACATGTGGGACCACGCGAGCTAGCAGTCCGAGAGATAAAACTATCAATTCTAAGATAAATCGCACCCACTCGAAATAACGAAAAATCGGAATCGTATTTCCAGCAGTGGAGGACTCACGAAAAGCAGACTCGCTCGAGGGGAAATTCCTCGACGGAATTTCTGTGCGGGCGGCTGATTGATTTATTTTGATTGATTGGTTGGTTGATTGATCGCGCATCCGCCCTGTCTGACCGTACTTGCGTCTTATCCGGAGTTTCCTCGATCGATTTGGGGCACTCTGTGACATCAGCCTCATTTTGCCCGTTGACGCGAGAAGCCCGGGCATTCTATCGATCAGGCTCATATTTCGTGTATCTCTGACGAGTTCCTGAGAGAATAGTCTTCGTATGGCCTTCGTGGCACTCCGGGAATAGGAGCACGCATTCCAGTGCGGTTCTAAGCAGATGGTGAGGGATCTCCCATGCTGGAGGAAATGTAGCGTTAGATCTGCGCGGTCCATCTGACATCGGTGCGATAAACATTCGTATTGAAAAACGCAAAAGTTTTGCTTTCGTCGGGATTCCAGTTTCGGTTCGCTGGGAAGCTCGCGGGTCTCCTCTACGGCAAGTCGAGTTTTCCTCGAGGGATACGCGGCCTACTTTCAGGCTCCGGACGAACGCTCATTGGCCGACGTCAAAAAGAAGAGATCCTATTGGCGGAGCCCTTTCGTCCCTTAGGGACATAAACGACGTTACTGCACCGCGGGCTTCGTCCTATGAGGTCGTCATGGCATACGGTGCTGCTGTTACTGCCGTCGCGTATTTTCGTTCCTCACAGAGATTCCTGCAAAGTATTCATGGGCGCCTCGGATACATAGAGGGGGGAAGCATGCTTCATTTGCTCGCAAGCCATATCCGCAGCACGAGAGATATTTCAGCTCTCTCAGTCGGCGGCTCCAGTGATTTCAAGGTTTTTTGCAAGCCTTGGGGTGGAAGTGTGATTTGTTTGCGCTGCGGCATTCGCGCTCATTCGCTCTAACGCTGAGTTAAGCGAAAGTTGTGAGAGTTTCAACAGTCGGTCCCTGGGGCCGTCGGTCCGGACGTCGGGCTGACCGGGTCCACTTCGAGCTGAGCGCGAATAACAAAATAGCTTTTCTTCTCTTTGTCCCCTCCACCTGCGAAGCCTCGTTCCCCATTCTGTTGCCTTTGCCGCTACTGCTGTTGCAGGCGAGGGCCTTCGGGGAGTCACAACTTAGCAACTATTGTGACAACAATCCTCCTCCATAAGAGAGGACTCTGAGCCTCGCTCGCCTTGTCCGCCGCTCCTTGCCGTCCTGCGACCTGACCTGTTGGGTCGATCGTCCGATTGATTCGTCGGGCTCAAAGCGCTAACCGGCCGGTGTCACACCAACCGTCAGTGGGCTGGGCCATCCACCGATTGTCACTCTTGTCTGCCGCACGAGCTGACTCGAGCGCGGGAACGGCGCCCACCTCTCCTGGCACCGAACGCATATCGATCTCGAGGAGACAAAGCGCCCATGACAAGGAGCCTGACTCCGATTGAGAAAAATGAGAGCGGGCGGGCGATTTTCTAGACCGTAGAGTCGAGACATCATAGCGAGTCTCGTTGTCCCCGAGAAGACACCGTTTGATCGACTTCGCCCTTCTAGCACTACTCGCGAAGAAAACCCGACCGGGTGACTTCGTGAAAAGCGAGCAGCGAAGAAGCCACGAAAGTGCAAAGTCGGGTCGCGTGTCAAAAGGTGGATGGCTCCGAAACGGAACAGGAGAGCAAGTGAGCATCGGCCTGTATCCGAGCTTTCCTGCGGCGGCCGCGGCTGCTACTACTACGAAGGAGGGGTAAAGTCCTGAGTAGATAGATGAAAGCTTCGTAGACAAATGAATGAATGAGTTGATCGCGTGGATTTCGGGGAAAGATGCGCTTTTGCGCGGGTGTGCGATCCGCCGAACGAGGTGATCAATTTCAATTTAGATCTGTTTACTCCTTTGGGAGGAGGCAGCGGAGCCATGGAAGAAAGGCGCGACGAACTTCCCACGGCGGGTAAGTTCTTCAGTCGCGACCAAGTTCTTTTGTCCCGAGTAGCGCGGAGTTTCAAGTTTTCCATCTGAGTGAGAAGCCCGGAATGCGTCGAACGACTTGCTAGCAGCTCCCGTTAGAGCCAACGGAGTGACTCGCTAGCCGGCCGGCTTTCGGGAAGGCCTTATTGTCACGCTTTGAATAGCGAGAGGAATCTTATCTCGCCCAACAGCTCCCTTGTACGACTATCAACGTTGGAAACACGATAAGCCCTTTTTTATAATACTTTTAACTTTTACTGCTTCCACGATGAAGCCGAATTCTCCTGAGGGATCTTTCGCTAAAAACGAACTCGTAAAGCTCGTCTCCCTCGAACACAGAAAGGCCGCTCCGACACTTCACAGTATTTTCCGAACACCTTGCCGCCGGCACTTGTTCTCCGCGGAAGTTCAAAGCTTCCGGAGATCGCTGTCCTGGGAGAAGATCGTTCGACCTCATCTCAGGAGATCCTGCGAGGGGAATAAGGGAAATTCACATTGCCACTCCTCAGCTTAGGATTCGAGCGACGAGATCCCGGAGCGGCAGGGGGTCTTTCACGTTTGATCAATTCTTGCAAATGTGAGCCATAGTCAGTCGATGGGGGCTCCTGTCGGAAGCGCCGGTTCTGCTTACTATTATAATTTCGAGTGATTCGCGGCAAACGACCAGTAATCTCCGTGTATCCCAGCGATGGGATAAATATTTTACCAAGTGTCTTCAGTCTAGCTCGGCCTCTTCAGTTAGGTAGAGACTCGACCGCGTCGGGGAAAAACTAATTTTCGAAAACCCAACGATGCTTGAATGCTTGATGCTCCTCGCATGGGCTCGTCGCGGCAACATACCTATGTTGGTAGTCGCAGGCTGGATTTGGATGCGATAACTCCGCTGGTTCTGATGTCTCTTTTTGCTCTTCGAGCTTGAGTTGCGGGAGAGGCAACTCTAATGGGCCGAGCGACAGGGAGGGGGTAATTTGTCGAGCAGACAACGCTCATGCACTTGGAGGGGAGAGAGAGTACAACGAGATTTTTCAATTACACAGGAAATGAAAGGAAGAATTAGGAACGAGAAAATGACAAAAGGAAGACAACGGAATAGACAGACCGAAGAATCACCGAGCCCCGTCGAAGCCGAAGCGAACGTGAGCGAATTCTCAACTGCTCAAAGTCGAGCTCTTCGAATTCTCATATGCGACCCGTAATCAGTGGCACAACGCCCAGGCCCTCGCTAAACAATTTCAGGTGACTCGCTCGATCGGTCAGATTTCGGGGAGAAAGAACAGGAAGTAATCCTGCAATCCTGGATGGGATGACTCGACTGCTTTTTCAAAATATTCCAGGTCTACCTGCTCGATATTGGGTCGCCGTCGAAGCCTTCCCTGGCGCTTCAGAGCTCCCTGCACGGACACCATGAGTTGTCTCCCGGGAGATTCCTCGTCCGCTCCTCTCCGATCCGAGTTCAAGCCCTGGTGTTATTGTTTATTCGACTGCGACGACAATAGCAGCCACATCGACCGCAGCAACGACAGCGAAAGAACAGGGATTCAACGACGACTGCAATGGGCTTGAGGAGACAACGTAGAGCAAACGAAATGCATCGGCACGGGCCAATTTTAAGCCTATTTCGTCGTTCACTGCCCGCTTCTGTTTGCCCCGTTCGTCGATGGAGATGCACGCTGTAGAATCGAATTAAATCTCCACCTAGTCGTTCGTTGTTTCTCTTCATAGAACTCCACCTCCTCGCAGCCCCCTCGCCCTTGTTTTGAATCCCCGGCATACACTGCTGTTTTCCCTCTGCCGGCTCCCGACATAGAGCTCGCGGTAGAACAGAACGAGCAGCGAATGCAAAGTAATATCGTTAACCTTTAGACGACCCAACGAGCCGATGTAATGCGATTTGAATTGTTGACAAACAGCTCAAGCCTCGGATGCCGACTTCAGCGATGGGCTCACTCTGTAGATCAGGCTCTCGGAGCGAATCGACGAATGTTGAAGGTGCTGTGTTTTACGAATTGAGCCAGCGGTGGAAGAGATACGAATATTCGGGGGAAGACTTAGCGTAGAGCGCTCAACCCTACGCCCTCTTTTCCTGGAGACTGCGAGTCTGTCGACTTGATTCCCGAGCTTGCAGGCTCGAACAGCGACGCTACCGATCATTTGTATTGGAAGCTCAGCTGGAGAGATATCAGACTAACTTTCTCCAACGGGCAACGTTGCAATGCTTCCTGATTAGTCAACCACATCTATTGCTTCCTCTAGTCACCCAAGCGGCCAGGCAGGCAAGCGGCAGACCGACCGACCGACTGGTCCGTCCATCCGTCCGTCCGTCTGTCGACCGGCCAGCCGGGCAACCAAACCGCATCAAGCTGTGGGCGTCACAGAGCTTCGAAGGCGGCCAAGCGTTACCGTTGATTTCCCACAGGGAAAGGAACGCGTACCACTCTCCAGCCGCCTAGATCTTGGATAGCCGGACGGCCGCCAACTGCAAGACATGACTTGTCCTATCGCCGCCGCCGCCGCAACCGCTGAAACCGCCTTATTGCTTGACCTATTAGGCGTCTGGCCTATTCGATCAGGACACACACGAGACTAAATAGAGTGACCGCTGCCGACGTTCTCCCGACTGCGAAATCAAGTCGCAACATCATCCCTTAGATTGAATTCATAAAGTACGCGGCTGCTTCGTCGATTCGAGGATTTTCCCCGGATTAGAGGTATTCTTGACAATGAATCGGGATACGCGTGTTCTTCCATCGCTGGATTCCGCGGCAATCTCTCGGTGTGTCCCAGCAGTCACGTATTGAAAAGGGAGATCGGATGAGGGATTGCGGAGTTCCTCTCCCTAATTTCGCCTGTGCTACCGTCGAAAGGGAGTTCTGCGAAAAGCAGAGGTGTTAAATTCGGATGGTTCGATGATATTGAGCAGTAGCTGCCTGCGTGAACCAACGAACCAATCTCCCAAGTCATCAACAAAGCTCGGCGTACAGCGGGTCATCATGATCATCGAAAGTCATTCTCCTTTTCGGTCTCAAATGTCGGAAGTGTCCCCAAACGATAAAATATTCTTGACGAGGTATCAGAGAGGGTTTTGCAAGCGTCTTCCTTTATTCCGAATCATGTTTGGCCAGTAATATGTGAGATTTGTCGCGAAGGGACTGATTCTTCCTATCGGATGGGTGCTCATTGAGAACTTTCGAGCCCTAGAAAGAGGAAAGAGTCGGTGATGCTTCGAAAGCCGATCAATCGGGCTGAGTGTCCGCCGATATCATACACCTGACCATCACGAGAACCGATCGAGGTGAGTCCCGGCCAGAAGTCGTCAATATCCGTGGCCCATTGCGATGAGACGCCGGCCAAGACTGCAGCGATTTGGTAATCCTACGAACCTCGATCATTATCCTTGCCATTGAGGTTGTCCTTGACGCGGGGTTAGCGTGTATACCACAGGAGGTCTGGAGTTCATCGACTCATGATTGAGGCTGAAAAAAAAACAAATGAAATAACCACAACTCACACGAACCGAACCGAATTCTCGGGAAGGCTCAATGCATCGAAGGCAAAGGCATCTGCGCGAACCATCGCGATCCTTGGGACCAGGATAATATTGATGGAGATCGGCGTCGTCGTCAGATGGATTCCCCAGATCGACCAATAGCCGCTCCAACTTACGGAAGCGTGGGTTTCCTGACGGCGGGTGCGACGGCGGGAGCTACGGCGGGTGCGACGGCGGGAGCTACGGCGGGAGCGACGGCGGGAGCGACGGCGGGAGCTACTGCCGGGGTCGGTGCTGGGGTCGGAGGGTTGTAATCCTCGATCACGTCCGTGGCCTCAGCTGCTGCCGGGGGACGGCTTCCAGGGCTCTGCCTTGCGTCGAGGGGTCTTCCGCGGCATTTCCCGCGGGTTTCTCTTGTGGTGCATCATCGGGTCTTTCCGCGAGCGTTTCGTCTTGCGGTTCGCTGCGGGGCTTCTCCTCTGGTTCAAGAGAGTGGCTGTTGTGAGAATGGGGAATGCCTCTCCGGCTCCCTGCTCGGCTATTTGCAAGGAGAGAGACTCCACCTTTCCATCGGATGAGATTAAATGTCAGAATCGTCAAACAAACCCTTTCCTGGCGCAGGATAGTACTGAGCTTCCTTCTGGTAACCGGCGGCCGGTTGCGGAGGAGCGGGATGCGGGTAGCCGGGAGCGTAGGGATATCCGTAGGGGGAGTAGGCTGCTGGCGCGTAGGGTGCAGGCCTATAGGCCGCGATCTTCCGACACTTCTTTGTAGGTTTTTGAGGAGCGGCGTAGGGGTTCGCACCGTAAGCTGACGGCGGGTTCCCATATGGTGGCGCTTGGTAGGGTTGAGGACCGTAGCTGGGTGGGGGAGGTGGACCATAGAGAGGCGGGGGAGGCGGACCGTAGTTCTGTTTCGGAGCAGGGACGGGGTGAGGAGGTGCGGCGGGCGGCGCGTACTTGGGCTTCTCGTAGGTTGGTTTCGGTGCGGGTTCGTAGGCTGGTTTCGGTGCGGGTTCGTAGGCTGGTTTCGGCGCGGGCTCGTAGGTTGGTTTCGGCGGTGCTTCGTAGGTGGGTTTCGGCGGTGCATCGTACGTTGGTGCCGCCGGGGCTTCATAGGCCGGTTTCGGGGCGTACACAGGTTGTGCGCTGATCTCGTACGAGGGCTGAGGCCCTGCTTTATACGCCGTTTGTGAGCTCGTCGCGTACGCCGGCTTCGCGGCGGGTGCGTATGCAGCCTGCGCGGGTTGACCGTACCTAGGCTTGGGAGCAGCTCCGTAAGGGGGACTCTGACCATGTGGTGGCGGATATACCGGTTCTGGTCCGCAGTCGTAGTACTCTTCGCCTGTGTATTCCTGCGGTGCTTGGGGGCCATATGCGGGAGGAGGCGGACCACCGTATGGGGGCGGTGGCGGGCTACTGTACGCAGGGGGATTCCCGTATTTGGGTTTGGGAGTGTATCCGTAGGATGGTGGAGGCCCATAAGGATTGGGAGCGGGGTAGCTCGGGGGTGCATACGCCGGTTCGGGTTGGTATGGCTTCTGGTAAGCGTACGCCACACCTCCGTACAGCACAGCCTGATAAATTGGACCCGGGACATACGCAGTCTGACCATAGGGGCTGGAAGGGATGATACGTCGATAATCTCGGAGCGCGGTCGACGGAATCTACCGATCGGGGATCTCGAAGGCTGCCAGCTTCTGACTTCTCGATATGAATTCTCAATTCGTGCCATTTAGCGGCTCGCTGAAACTTCTGCTGCCATCGGAATCTCGCGGAGGAAAGGAAAATCGGACCACCAACTAATCAAGACACCGAGCAGAAGCGGAGCTCATTTCCTCCCGCTTGTCTGAGTGGATCCTATTGCGCCGAGTAGGACTCGCCATCTCTCGATCGATATAAAGAAATGGATACATGCTTCCCAATACGACTCATGCTCCTTTATGACTCTTTATGATGAGCGAGATCCGAGATCCGAGCGAGGAAAAACGCAAGAAAGATTTCGAGCATCGAAATGCAGAAACACTCACCTTCCACCGGATCGATCCTCCGCCCCGTCGGGAAGAGCATGGTGAGCAGCAGAGTCCTCGGAGTTTAGTCCATCTTCGATCGGCGCCTCGGTCCTCCTCGCTGCTGCTGCTGCTGCATCATCGTCTCTGGAACTGGACACCTTGCAAGCTGAAGTTTGGAGCGATTTCTTTCCTTTCCGAGACCCGAATTAAGACCAAGGTTTCGGGATTTAGGTTTTCGTGTGACACGAATAACTATCCATCGCACATGAGAAATCGAATTTGCATCGTCGATTAGGACATATTGGAGCAACGCGTGAAATGAGATCCGGGGATCTTTGGTCACGTCACATGTAGCACTCACTTCAAGGGGGCCGCGGAGCTGAGTCCCGCGAGGAATAGAACCGCGAGCGACACTCTTGAGACCAGCATGGCGAATGCTCTCCAATCATGACTGACAATATCATGTTTCAGTCTCCAGGCGTTCTTCTGTACCGATGCGCGTTTCCAGAACAGGTGATCATGCCCAGTCAGCGGTCAGCTATCGAGATCGTGTCTCGAGCGGTAGTTGTAAAACGACCCGGAAAAACCGTAGCGGAACCCAGTACGTGTGCAGCAGATTGCATCGTCCAGAGCATAATTGTTCTTGAGCGGAACTTCCAGGCATCCCCATCTCTGCCCTCCCCTCTATAATGTTCAACGCTGCCAGCACTCGCTTCTTAATGAAGAGGGCTGAGAAGTTCCTACCTCAGGGGGAGGCAATCTCCTGCCGTGTATCTCGAGCTCGACGGCTCGGGACGAAAATGTCCGGGGACGATAGCCTTATATTACCGGATCGCGTCGAAACAAAATTTCCCTCAGAATAGTCAAATCAGGGCTGAAATCGTGGCATCGCGGGAATCCCGCGGAGCCAGTCGGCCGAGCGGGGCATTAGAATTTCTGACAGCGAGATGGGAATAGAGGCTACACAGTAGACTGACTTCTTGAACATCCATCGATTCCGAAATTCCCCGATGCGCCCCTGCCTCTGCTAGGCGAACTCGGAACCTCGAGGCTTGCCCGCTGGATGAGTTCAGTTGCGACATAAGAAGATACGTCAGTTTCGTCCGTTATGTCAGCGTTTTCCTCCTCAGCGAATCGTATATAAAGACATTGGAGGTCACCCGAGGGTTGCGTTTTTCAGAAAAATAGCGATGGAAGTTCAATTGATTCCATTGAACGGTTCGAAAACATGTAATGAAATGATCGCTTTCGATGCCCGCTCTTCGTCCCCATGTCCGCGAGGACATCGCCTCTTTTCGGTAGGAAAATGTCCTCTCATATCGCGACTCTCTTAAGAGGGAATGAGGTCCTTCTGGCTCGGGCCGCATAATTCATGGAAGTGAATAGACCGTCTTCAGAAAAAGATGTATACATTTAATTCTTTAATATAATAGTTCATTTGGGTAAGCATCGTTGCTGACGACGCTCGTCACAGGCTCAATAAATACAATATCGTACTCAACAATAGGAATATAGAGATTTTTGGTATTTGTTCGTTCACTGGAATCCAACTTCTCGAAGAAAAATGAACCCAGCGGTCTAGTTTGATCACGAGTTGTAGATTTTGTGGACGCCACGCTTGTGTTCGAGCAGCGTATCCGATCTCCCGAAGGCCTTCCCACAGAGATCGCATACGTACTCTGCTTTGCCGGAGTGGATTTTTTTGTGACGCGTCATCACACTGTGTAACCGGAAAACCTGAAACGAGACAACGACGCCTCTTAGTGGAAAAGAAATCTACTGATCTCAATATTTTACTATAAGCTGCTGATATTTCAAGCGATGAGGCTCCAATACATAGGTTGGGATTTTCCTCCTCTTGGACAAACCTTGTGGCACACCGGGCAGGGGAATCCATCCGGACTGGTGGTGGTTTCTACCACCTTAGATCGCGAATGTAGGTTTTTGGCTTCGAGGCGGGCGAACGGCAAGAAGTGGCTCAACAGTATTTCTGGTCGCAGGATTCCTTCACCCAGGAGCCCGTGTTCCAACAGCTCGGCCGCTGAATTACGAGATCGATTTAGTCGTTTGCGCTTCAGAGAAGACCGTAGGTTGGAAACGGTCAAGCCCGTCCCAGTTTTCCGAGCTTCCAATCGACTTGTGTGAACAAAGAAGTGCATCAATAGGTGCGAGCCCGAAAGAAAGTATTTGTGACACCTCGGGGTGCAGGCCAGAAGCGGAAACAACTCGTGAGGGTGTGGTCGGCTGCAATTGAATCAAGGCGAGTTTTGTGATTTTATTCATTTGGTTGGGTGATCGTCCAGCAATACGCTCAGCTGAGCACTCCACGCTAGTGGTCCCGTAGTCCCGCGGACAGCGACGATTGGCATCGACGATCTGAAACGGAGACAGCTAGTTACTTGGCACGCTGCGCAAACCCTAAGTCGTATCTCATAGGATCATTCTAGGAGCTCGCAGCTGATCGAGAACATATCATTGGAAGAAAAACTCCACATACTTTGTATACCGACCCTTTATTATAGAATGGAGATCCCCATAGAATGTGATACGGCTGATATTCTTTTTTTTTCATATATATATGTACACAATTTTTTTCCTTTCATTACACTCTGTCCATTAGAACACCTCTAAATAACTTTTTGCCCTCGGTTGAATTTTCCCCACGTTTTCTCTATTGTCGGGCCACGGTCTCGGGCCTTGTTCAATAGACGGAAAAAAATCACGCATAAATAGAATCATCTTTTCTTTAGATTTAATTTAACTAGTGCCTCGAGTCTCAAGCTGTTACCCATTGGTTCCCACGCCTAGAAATTGGTAAACCCTCCCCGCCCGCCTCTACTGTTTCGATTACAATACATGTATACAGCTTTTTCGGTAGCCAGGACATTAGTAGAGGACCGCTCCCTGCAGTCCTTTCCTCTCTTCCTCTCGTAGATTCTTTTAATGAAAGTCGGTGGTGGCCACCAGTGGCTCGCGCGATCGACCGATCGATCGATCCTTTCGTTGATCGATCAATCAATCAACAAAGTCTTCGTTGGGAGACGGGTTGGAGTCAGCTGCTCGGTCAGTCGATTCAATGGGGGAGAGTGGTGGGGACCACTCACACTAAAACTTATAGTCTGCGTCGGCCATCTCGATGGCCCACCGGAATTTGTCCCTCTGAGTTTTATTGTAGACTTTGTCAATGGGAACGTCCCACTTCTTGCACCACGCGACGGAAATGCGAGGATCGAGGTAGTTGAGCTTGGACGTGCCCAACGCAATCTGTTTGTTTTCCTCGCGATCAGTCGCTTGTACATGGAGCCTCTTCAACTGATCTTCGAGAGCGTGAAGGCGTTTTTGCTTTTTGTCGGCTGTGGCCTTATCACCGCTTCGTTTGGCGTCTTTGAATTCGCGTTTCACCTGCAAATCGCACGCACTCAATCAAAAACCCATCGCGAACGGAAAAAATCATACTCTGCAATACTGTTGCTCGTGGAAGGAACATTCGGAAGAAATTCTTCTGGAAAAAGCGTTTCGAAGCGAGCTTGATGGAAGGTTACCCTCAGAATCGGTGGTGCGACCCACCGAGTCACTCAAGCGACTGATTTCGGTCGGTTTTTTCTCTACTTACGTCCGCGATTTGGTCTTGCTTCTCGTCGATTTTCTTCTGCAAGTTCTCCATGCTCTTCTCGAATGTCTTGGGTACGGCACGCTGATGGTTACAGAGAACGGCTACAGCGCGGTTAGCCCGATTGTAGGCCAAGAGTTTTTCTGGAATGCTCATGTCGGCATCGGTCAGCTTGTCCAGCTGTTCTTGCAGTGTTTTCGAGGCGTTGTACGTACGGAACACCTGGGTCGGAAAGACGTCGGTCACTCATGCGCTCAGCGGAGAACACGTGGTCAGGTCGAGGAATAGAATGACTGACGAGTCAAAAAATCTTGGCACATGTGTCGTGCAGGATCGGGAGGCCGTGAAAAGGCCCGAGCATCGTCACCGAAACACTCACCTTCGCTGTGAGACCTTCCATGAGTTCGTTGAGATGCTTGTTCAGAATACTTGTGTTGAGTCGATCGAAGAGATCGTCGCCGGGTTTCTTATTTTCACAGAATATTCTAAGGTTCTTGAAAACCCGCTTTTCTACAGGTACCCAGTTCTGGTAGCGAATCGAATCTTTACCAAGGAAATCAAACTCCACAACGTTCTCCTTGTCTTCCCATTCGTCGTGGAGCCGAACGTGCTCAACACGAAGCGAGCAACAACCGACAGTGTCGGCCTGCTCGTCCGCGTCTTTTTCGTTTCCGGCACGAAGAGCTAATTTGTCTATGAAGTACAGTGCCACGGCTCTTTGACGGACTCGCATCTCTTTCGACTTCCAGTCGCTCTGATAGTTCTCCCGGATTTTCTTGACGCAGCTCTTCAGTAGACGTGCCGTTTCGTATTTCTGGAAGTCTTTCTCCCCCTTCAGCTTCGACGAAGGGTTCAGCATGATGTACTTGTTGTTGCCGAGCACGTTCTCGGTCCAACAGCAGAGCCACGTGACGGTGTTATCGTGTCGTACTTCCTTCCACCGATGGCCTGGCGGTGGTTTAGGAACGGGCGCACCCTTACTGATGTTGATAATTACGTCTTCGGGCTGCGTGCGTCTCTTGAGCCTTCCCATCTTTGGATGTTCGCCTCGACCTCGGAACAGACCGGGAGGCTCAATTTTGAAGTTACCGATTCTCTGCTTGTGGCCGTCGATAATGCAGATGCCGTATTCTTTCTGCAAAGCCTCGTTCATCTTCTTCTCCTCGAGCTTTTCCTCTTTCGATCTGTTCTTCCGCTCTTCGGTCTTCTCTTTAAAGTAGTTGGCCATATGAGTAAAGTCACATTTCTTCAGGTCGGTGATGGTTTCCTTTTCGTGAGCTGTCATGCTCTTCCGCCAGTCTTGGAAGAAGTTCGAATTGAACGACTCCTTCTGGGTATAATCGTGGTCTAGCATTCGAGCGTAAAAAGTGGCGATCTCTTCGGCCTCGAGTGAGAGTTTCATCTTTTTCCCATTGTACAGGAAGGGGACATTCGCGGGCAAGGCCTCGTAGTCTGGAGCAAACACGGGGCCCTTGTGCTCCAAAGTGTTCCACTTGACGCCCTCAGGCTACAATGAAATGGAAAGAAGAATACTGTTGGAGTCGTATGATTCAAATTGAGAACTGTTCAGGAGATCGTTCGCTCAAGGCGAGACGCCAGCGGCATCGAATGCCTGTTCCCGAAAATCGACAATCGATGTTGCGGCACGGAAGATTTCCGAGAATTCCCCCGCCCCCACGCTTCCCCCCTCCGATTAAGTTCCTTCTCTCGGAAATTTTTATCGATAATTTCGCAGTCACCTTTTTCTCCTCTTCCCACCACTTCCATACGTCTTCCTCGTCCTCCGTCTTTTTCTTCTTACGGGGAGACTCGGATTCGCCGGACTCTCTCTTGACTGCAATGAAGAAAACACTCACCGTAACGAAGGCTGTCGTTCCGAAAGGCACCACAATGAGTCATCATCGAATCACTGAATTCACCGATATGTGTATCCAGTTATTAGGATCAGTTACGTTTGAGTTCCCATTGTGAACCGTGCAGAATTCAGAGCCCGAGAAGGAGGCCATTCTTTCGCGCACTTTCACTCGGTATTAGCATGATAGTCATCACAGTATACAACACTGTCATCGTTGCCAACTTGGCCACCACTGCGGAAATTCCGTGAAGCTATCGAACGTTCGAACCACCGATGACCTCTGGCTCAGAAGGCTCCGAGGAGCGTCGAAGAGATCCGGAACCAGCGTCTTCTCGAGACTTAGAGCTAACATGGTAAGTCGCCGTCGGGGAATCAAAACAACTGACGTAGATCACAGCTCAGACGGACTGAATGACTGACTGTTTGACTGACTACTGCTGGTGCAGCTACTGCTGCTCCTCATGGTAGAGGGCTTTGTGGCCACTCCAGCGTCTCAACCTTGATCAGTCGAATGGAACCAAGCGAAGTGCTCCAGTCAGAAACAGGCTGCGTCTTCTTGCCAATGCTGTCGACTCCCGGCGGGCCGTGCCAGCAAACCAGGCAGGCAGCAAGGCAGTAAGGCTGGCAAGCAAGCGGGCGAGCAAGCAAGAAAACTGTCCGACCGTCCGTCGGCACGGCCAGGCGCTCGCTGGGCTGGCCGGTCGACGGACCGACCGGCCGGCCGGCGGGTCTGTCTGTCTGTCGGCACTCTGCGCATAGCAAGCGTGACGACAGAGCCACGTAGTCCAACAAACGCGCACACCGTGACTTGCTTACCAGCGGCTGGCCGTGCCCTCCCATCGTTTGAGTGGCTGGCCGGCCGGCTGGTTGGTTGGCTTGCTTGTAGTTTTGCTGGTTGGCTCAGTCGGTCGGTCCAGTTTCCTACAGCATTCAACCATGCATGCACGACGCCCACAACAACAACAAAGTCTACCAACAACAACCAACCCAGTCAAGCCAGCCGGGCAAGATAGCTGATGTCTCAAGACGGCGAGTCACGGTGCCGCTCAAAGACGACGACGACTACGCTCCGGAGCCAGGAGCCACTGATGGCGTGAGTCAGTATGGTGAAGGGACCAACGATCGCTGTCACCTTGATCATCTCCGACGACTTTCTGAGGCATCGAACTCTCCCGACATTCGAAATCTCCTGCCAAGGCCGTTGCAAAGCAAATGGCGCTCGACGTCTGGTCTGTCATGAAGAGGCAAGGCCGTCCATGGCCGACACCGAAGGTCTATGCCATCTCGGGGCCGAGATCGAGTTCGATAGGATTTCGGGGTGTATCGATGGAAGCTTCACGATTTTCCGGTGGATGGCTCTTATGGTATGGGACATAGATGGGGGAGATATTACCTTTCTTCTTCAAAGGTTTCGATGGAGCTTTGGATTGTGGCTGTTTCCGCTTTTTCTTCTTCATGGAACCATCGTCGCTCTCATCGTCTTCGGACTCGTCGGTCTCCTCCTAAAGATGAGGAGAAAGTGATTATTCGTCGATTCTTGTCGATCATCCATCCATCCAACCATTCGTTTCCCCTTACGCTATATCGGATCGGACGCTATTCCAGTGTCGCCGATGAATATGAGCAAACGACTCTAATGTGAATCAAGGCTCCGATCAGGAACAGCCGAGGAGTCGATAATTCTGATACGGCGCGGCGTATTCAGGGCAAAGCGGCAAGAGAGCGTACCTTTCTGATTCTTTTTCTTTTGTATCTTTCAAATTTTACAGCCAGAGGAGTATCCGAGTCGCAACTATCTGAACTGTAACCAGTTTCATTTTCTTTGACCTCGTCTGAATAAGCGTCAGAGCTGTAGTCAACTCGTTCTTCCGTCTCTCGTCTTCCCAGCTTCATGGAATCAAAATGCTTCTGAGAATCGAATCCGTTGATTTCTGAACAAAAACTCTCATGCGCCTCGACGGTCGCGCTCAAAATTCGCGCACGTCGACCCGGACAACACTGACACAGAAATCACGTATGACGATGCCGAGAAGCAGATCGGCTCGCATAAGTTCGTTCCACCTTAACAACATCCCCTCGATTGACAATGAAAGGAAGCAAAGTGGGAGGAATAGATTGGCTTCCGGGAGGGGAACAGTCGAGTCCCGAAAGCCCGTCTGAAAAGGGAAAATTCTCGTGCTCACACTCATTACGTACCTTCTTGCGTTTCAAGGGAACGCTCCTCTTCTTGGACTTTTGAGCCTTCGCTCTGGCAAGCTTGACGGCCAAGGGCTCATCGTCGGAACCGTCTCCGCTCTCGTTGGCTGCTTGCGTTTTGACCCGGGCGAGTTTGGCAGCTAGAGGCTCGTCGTCACTGTCGTCTTCGGGCTCATCCTTGACGTCCTGTGTGCCGTCGTCTGCGTCGGCTTCTTCATCGTCGTCCTCTTCTTTCTTGACCTGGAGGCTCGTGTCGTTAGCCTCGTCGTCATCGTCATCGTCGTCATCGCTGTCTTGAGGCCGGCCAGACTGATACTCGTCCTTGGCAACGGTTTCTGAAACCAACGTCATTCGACCCGGAGCTTCCGGTCTCACAGGCGAAGTCGACTCGTCCTTCACGAAGGAGTCGGTATGGTGGTGGTGATGTGAGTACTGATTGTTGTGGTTTTGATTGTTCAGGTGATGATGGTTGCTCTGTCTGCTGTCGACATGATCCACTTCCATGGAGTCGATCTCCGGCGTTTCGTGATTGGCTCCGTTGTTGAGAGTAGCGTTTTGCTGCTCCTTCTCACGACGTTCACGCTCTTTGCGCTCCTTGCGCTCTCTGTCTTTCTCGCGACCGGAGGACGACGAGTGACGATCCTTGTGGTGATGAGATGAGGACGAGTGTCGATCCTTGTTGTCGGACGACCGGTGGCTCGACGAGTGGCGATCCTTGGTCTTCGACGAGGACGACGACGTCGAGTGATGCTTACGATCCTTGTCAGAGGACGAGCGGTGCTTCTCCTTATCAGATCTGTGCTTCTCCTTGTCGGAACGTGGTTTGTCCGACTTATCCTTATCGCCATGATGCTTCTCCTTTTCACGGTCGGACCTGTGTTTATCCGATTTGTGCTTGTCCGATGTTCGATGACGATCTTTCGACGAGGAGTGATGTGAAGATGATGACCGATGGTTGTCCTGCAATGAGTTTGTCGAGTGTGAGTTGAAATGTCCAAGCCGAGGAGTTATGACGGAAGCGCAACGCTCCGAAACGAACCTTGTCTTTGGACGACGAATGATGGGAAGAGGATGAATGTTTTTTCTTGTGCCGGTCTCTGTCTTTCGATGAAGAATGGTGATGCCCAGAGGAAGAATGTCTTTTCTCGTCCTTCTCGGGCTCTTGGGGTTCGCCATTGGCATCTCCGTTCTCTATCGAACCGCCGTTCACATGTCCATTTTCTAAAAACATACGGTATTAGGTTAGAAGTGACCCTGCACTCTTTCTCGGCGCGAGCGGCTCGAACCAGGTGAACAGCGGTGCTGCGTTGCATTCCGGAGGCCTAATTGCCTCCGGCATTGGATTCCTCGCTCCGCCCCGAAATCGGGGATTTAGCCGGGTAGAACAAGATTCAGAATGTCCGAACAGAGAGCGGAGCTCATTTGTTCTAAATCCCAACGATTGTGGTGTACATGGATAATGATCGTAATTCGCGGCAGTCGTCGCGCTCAACAGCGGAATTCGGGAACATTTCGTTCACGAACCCTTCATCCGGCATTCGGAAGGGGTCACTAACCGTCATCGCGACAATTCAACAACAGGAGGGTCTCACACATTGGCCGAACAATTCATCGCTCACTCGGTCAGTTGAAAGAATTCCGAGAGGAGCTGGGGACCAAGTGTTTCATGTCGCTCGCAATCTCACATCAGAGGGAAGAGGTTCTCGGTAAATATCCAGTCAACCCGCTTCGCTATGTGTGCCTCCTTTGGATAATGAAAAACGCACAGATTTCCGAAAGAGATGAGAGAATACGCACCTTTGCGTTCCACCGCGGTCTCACTTGAAGCCTGGAAAGAGAGAAAGAAAGATCTTTCCGTGAATTTTTAAGAAGTGTGTTGAAGTTCGATTCTTGGAGGAAATAATCGATTCCCAGAATAATTTCGACAGCTGGAATTATCTGAAGCGAGTCGCATAACTGCCATCGCTCCAGCTAAGCTTAACGGTCTTTCGCCTCGAGATAGAGTTACCATGTTTCCGTCGGCGTCTCGTCGAATTTTTCAGGGCTCTCACTGTTTCTCGAGGTTCTTCATATATCACCTCCCCTCACTGGTGAAGATCAGACGTAAGGCAAATGATATCCTCAATGAAAAAAATACGCAAATTGTAGCAACATTCTCGAACTCAAGCAGCGAAAAGCTGCGGGAACAAGACCGGCGATTCGTTCACGGCGAATTAAATGCCCCTCCAGAAACGAGCCGGTGGTTTCAGAAGCAACGGTTCTTCAGCCGTCATCACACACACCCTTCAAGCCATCATCGGAATTCGCACGGAGATCATCGCGCGAAACATCGAGAGCAGATCGTTCCGCGGACTCTTTCATCGGAGTTTCTCGAAATCTAGAGCCGAAGTACGAGTCAGCTGAAGTTGAGAAGTTTATTTCCCATGCCGGCCGGTGGCGTTAAGCCTAACCGGGGGAGTGCCTCCCGATATGTGCAGCTCGACTCCGATTGCAGAGTTTGGAACGAGAAGCAGAAGTCCAAACGCATTCCGCGACGGAGGCCCATTCGGGAAGATTCTCGTGCAAAGCCACACACTCCGCGTCGAGAGCCGGCTTCCTTGGAAAATCACTTCTAGCTCAATATGCTTGTGTTCTCGGGAAGAGTCCGGGCTGGCAAGAGAGATATGCTCACACGTTTCGGACTCCGGTCTCATGACCGTCAGTGCTTATTCAGGCTACAGTCGACATATCTGAATGCTGGCACGAATGCTTCACACACGGGTACCGACTGAGAGAACAGTTCGTTGGAGTAAAGCCTCGCTCTTGCGTACGGCACCAACACACACACATGATGGTTGGGGACTTGGAAATTTTCCGCAAAATCACTGTTGTTAACGGTGGCAACACATTCGTCCCGACCACCGAATGCCTCGACCGGCAATTATTTTCCAATAAAACAGTAAGCATCAGAGCATTCAGTGCGCTATCTAAGTTCAGCGAGCTTCACGTTTAGGCTTAGACTCGGCTGGGGACGTTCGAACTTGGAGAATCCACCTCGCTCCGAGAATCAGAATCGCTCGAATCTCATGGATTCTCGCGGTTCAAGCGAATGTTTCACGGCTATCTCGGCTCGGGAGACCGAACTGAGGAGTTTCCACGAGAAGTTTCGGCGAAAACAGCTCAGCAAGGCTCCCTGCCCAGGTAATGCGAACGACGGGACTTAGAAATTCGTCGGGACATAGGCTTTGAGGGCACATGGCTCAGCAGTCAGGAGTCGTTTCCAGTGGCAGGGAAAAATACCAGTGACGAAAAACTCACCTGGGTCACGTTCTGAGCAGCTTCAACGTCCGCGGACGTCATTTCCAGCTTCGAAATAGCGAAATTTGCGGGTAACAGGTCGATCTTCCACAACGCTTCTTGGCCGACACCGATGTTCAGTGTAGGGTCGTTCGCTCGTCACCAACAGCAGAGCGGCTAGCTAGCTGGTCGACACAACGCTAAGTCCACGCGCATGCGCACCGCTTTGGGGTCTCTGTATAATACAAGACACCAGCTCGCACACACACTCAACTTGACCGGAGATTCGATTCGAGCGCTGAGACAACGAATTTGTTCTGTACTTGAGCGTATGCTTGGATACTCAACGATTTGACTGATGCCGAGTCCGCGGAGCACCCGTTAAAGTTGAAGCATAAAGACGAAAAGAAGCGTTCACTGCTGATGAGAGAGTGAATACAATGATGATGATGATTCTTGCTGAGAGTCCCAGCGCGACCGGGCGATACCGTCCTGAGGATTCTCTCCCCGGCTTTTCAACTCGATTCCACAATGCCGTGATCCAAATCAAAGCCCACAGGATAAGACATTTGACTCGGGAGAGCTCTATAGAGAAGAACGGCCGCTTGGCGAAACTCGGGGAAGGAGGCCAGGTCTCTGTGCGACCGGAGATTAGCCGATGCGGCGATTCTATCTCAAGCGAGGCGGATCCGACTGGCGGCGAGACCTCGCACCAGACCCGCAAGAAACAGGAGGCCTTAACCCTGGAGGGGCATCTATGATTCGCTGGTTCGAGAATACCATCCGGGCCCCGTATAATTGACATTCCAGAGACATCGGTCTCGGACAGCCATCGGTATGTATGCGAGAGTCCGTTCGCCCGAAAAAGTCGCTTCATGAGATGTCGTAGTTGCTCGTGCCGTTTGTGAACTTCCTCTGGTCCGTACCGACTTCTAGATGGGTGATCCAGTTCACATGTTCAGGAGCGACCGTGAGACCTCATCTACGAGCCTTTGCGAACATGTTTTCGCCTGTTTCAGCTCATTTCCGATGGGATAATACTGCTGACCTGGACATGAGTTTCATCCGATGTTTCCGATGACGGTACTCTCGAAGTTTCTCATCATTTCACAGCTTGGCTCATCTGCGGAACAGTCCGGGAGCGGGGCAGCTCCGTATTCCTCCCTTTCGCTCTTTCAGCTCGTATTGCATAGGCACTGCTGTGGAACCTCTGGGGTCAGCGGAAGCTTTCTGGGTCGAGCTCGACCAGCGAAGAGGAGTTCAATGTGCTGCGCTCCATTCAAACTTCCGCCACTTGGTGGCTACCGAGTCCCGGAACCGGATGAGCATACATCACTGCATAAGCCTGAAAGAAATTCTTTCCTCTCGGTGCCCATCACGCTTCAAAATACGAGCTCTCTCCGCTCGCTGGAAGAGTAGGATCAGTGAAGGCCTATAGATGCGCGAAGTTGGCTGAAAACTTCTACGCTGTACTGAGAGATTCGAATGATATCATCGACTCGGCTCTGAGAGGACTACCCCGAAGGCTGAATGCTGGGGACCTAGAATCGCCGCTCTGATCTGAATGGCCTCTCTCATTGAATGTTCAGAGCAAGAGTCAGTAGGAGGCATGCGAGTCTTCGCACCGAGTTGAAGTCAAGTCCAATTTATGATGTTGCTCGGGGTTTAGGGTCTACAGAGAGCGTTCGACCCGATTATCATATGACTCTGGACTTCATTTCCGATGGGCAGAAGGAAACCGAGGATGGAGTTCTCTCGAGAAACCGACATTGCGCTTTCATGGAAGATCACTCGCTACCTAATTGAGAACTACTTAGTCAAGTGATCGGATAATAAGTCGGTGTCGGTTCAGACCTGGTTTATGCTCAGCAAGATCTCAATGCTTATGAGTCATGAGCTCGTACTATGCGGGGAGAACTCATCGCTGGTGCCCAGTCCGATGAGATATGCCTGAGCCGTGATATGACACAAATCTTGAATACTCCGGTCTGGACTCATCACCGACGGGATCACGCCGCGGGAGGGGCTAGAACACAATATTCTACATGAATGAGATCAGTTGTGAATTTTTTCGATTCTTGCGATCGCTTTGTAGAAAGACTCCAACGTAGGCGAGAGATTCGCCGCTCCTATGGCTTTCTCCGCGGACATCTCGGGGCGTCCGCGAACGGTTTTTGTAACGGCTGATAATAGGTTCCGCGTCTTCAATGCGATCTCCTGTCGAAAAAACACCGTGGCAATAGCGACATCTTATTGAGCCTTATTATTCCTCTCTGAGTATCAACGATTGATTATCATCGGCTCCCATCACTTCGGAAACCAACCCTTACGACGTCGCCGTCTGACATCCGAGTATTTTCAGAACAGCGACACATGAAGAGCGCGATTTCTTTGTGCGTTTTACAGCGTGATAGGGCTTCTTTGGCGTGAAGCGCGATGACCACTTCAGCAGAGGGCAGAGCTACCCAAAGGTCCATCATATCCATTCGAGTGCCCATGGAAGCGTCCGTAACGCCAGCTAGATAGGTTTTCTTGCCTGAGAACCATGAGAGGCAAACGGAGACTTGATCATCAATTGATTTTCTCCTCTGGACGGTCCGAGGGAGTCAGTTCATGGTTGAGAATCGGCCTCGCGCTTATCAATCGCGGCCATCTGGATTTGAATCCTCCATCGACAGAAATAATATCATCAACTATGGAGCATACCTCTGAGAAAAGAGACATCCGCCTCGGTATTGCCCATGAGAGGATAGGTGTTTTCGAAGGGATTTCGCCTGTGAGACATGAGCGATGCTGCAGCTGCAACCATCTGCTGAAGATCGTCCGCTGAATGATGGTAGATCATTACGCGCAGTTCGAGCAGGAGTGCCGTGTATACGAGAATCGTCTCCGTTTGGAAGGCGCGTATCAACTCTGTTGATGTCGAAAGACCAAATTAGGATTTCGTGGTAGCAGAATGTTCATCGTTGACGATCAGACGGCATGAATATCATTCAGAACATCGCCACTCATGATATGAGCGATGAAATCAACTCTCTCCCATGACGAGAACGTGTTCTATCGACTAAGCACCCATCGTGTGATTATTTTATTATAAGATCATTATATTATCATGACGAGCCTCGGCTTACCTTTAATGGGCACACTCTCGGTAGGTGCTGGCAGGCTCCTCAAGTCGACTGAGAAGCCATTCTCGTTGATGATCTGTTTCGTTTGAGCGACCAGATAAATTCTCAGAAGTTCCGGTGGACTATTGTTCGTCTGATAGCTCTGTAGGATAATCGCTCAGTGTGATCATATTGAAAGTCGCGGCACTATATTCTCTCGAAGATGATTCATTCACGGCGTCGAAGTCCCGATCGCTCACCTCGTTCAGAACACTCAGAAGCCGCCTGTATCTTTGAGGATGGAAAGCGTCCGCCTGCAGCACGACGGTGACCGCGAGGACCCTCGCATTCGTCGAGCCTCGACGGCTGAGCGCGTAAAACCATCCTTCGTCGGTTTGAATCACGATGAATTCGTCAGACTCGAATGCGACCTTCGATTGTATCGAAGTTTTTGTCTGGGCACTGACCGATGGATATGACCATATCCAGAAGATATCCTTGTTCTGATCGATTTCTGCGGGGGAAGTTGGAACTGACTTCTTGAAGCTGGTACACTTAGGAGCGTATTCCTCGGGACTTCCATAGCGAACTTGGTAGCTCTCGTTGACTCACCTAAGATAGCTATAGCTTTGAGAAGCGGTCGGGTCGAGCCCATCTTCGCGCAGCATCCGCTTCAGAACTTCTCGCGCACCATCACCGGTTTGTCGAGAGAGACCGCATAATTTCCGGCATACGACCAAACTGGAGCTTTTTTGGCCCACGAATCTTGATGTTCGCTCTAAGGAAGTCCCTCGACTCTCGAATCGACGTTCGCGAGATCTGTCAACCTATTCCTGCGTGGGAGGAATCATGCTCTGCGTTCATCGTACTGGCAGAGGGGGGAATGATTCCTGCTTGGATGGCGCGCAGACGCAGCTGTGCATCGGAGGGTAGTGTAAACACAGCGGTCACAACAGCGGCTGGATCATCGCTGGTGGATCCATCCTCCAGCTGATTGTTTGTATTCGACGCTGATCTGGTTCACTTATGTTCCCCCGCGAGTTTTACATACTCGAAGCCACGATCCAACCCTTGGCAATGTGAATCCTGGAGTCAGAGTCTTGTGTGAGATATGTCCGAGAGTGAGAATTTGATACAAACCGTGATAAGTACTCTCAACAGGTGAGAACATTTATCACTGTATGTAGAAGAGTTTTCCCGCTGGAAAAAAGCCCTTCATGGCCAGAAGTCTCCCGTTGGAGCCGGTGAGCATGCAGGCGGGATATTGACGTGAGCCAATCGTTCTCGAAGGACCGCTACAAGAGAGTTGTACGGATATACTACTAGAGCCGGAGAGGCACAAGCCAAGTGACCTCGCGTAGTGTCTCGAGGCGACGTACTTTGCACTCAGATATCGTGAACGGCTATCGTGAATCTTCGAACGAGTTTGCTCTCCTTACACGACCGAGATACCGCGCCGGTTCGTCACTCGATGTGAGGAGAGAGAGACGAAACCTTGCAGGCTCCGTCTGGCGAAGACTCAGAGATAGATCCGGAGAGCTTCATTCGCGGAATGAGCCAAGGTGATTCCTTCCATTAGTCATCATCTCCCAGAATGTTCGGGTTACCGCTCCGTTCCCCGAGCAATCACTTATTCGGGACCGGCATTCCGCCGCACACAGCTGATTGGGTGGTGTATTGAATGCTTGACTCTAGGCCAGGGGTGTCGAAGTCAAATCTTCGGCGGGCCATGAAGAAGCACTGGGAGAAGCCGGCGGGCCACATCCAAAGATTTTTTCGACATTATTCTTAATCCACGTTGTTTGAGCGGGGAGATCGGAAAGCTGGAGGGAAACACATATATGTATGTGCATGATGGGTCGCAATTGATTCTCGATTTTTCAGAGTCGACTCGTTCTATTCGTGATTAGAAATTTACAAGTATATGATCCTATGGAATATCTGAGGATCGGCCGCGGGCCACGAGAAAACCCCTCGCGGGCCACCTCTTTGACACCCCTGCTCTAGGCCGTCAGATGCCTCGAGGACTTCTTCGAAGAATGAAAATTCGTCTCTTTCCGGCAACAACCGATGGCGTCGATACTCCGCGATCCATTCCATGGGAGACTGTCGAGTCGAGGACTATGATTGAAGCGAAGAACTCAATGAAAGCTGTCATTCTCTTTCAGGCTTTCGGGCATCCTGCATGAGCCACCCGAGAGCGTAGATCAACCGACATCTGGAGGTATATATTGTGCAGAATATTTGCGCGAAGCAGGAACTAGCTGCAGGATCTCACACAGGAACCATGAGGCGATCGCCTAGAACCTCTCCGCTAAAACCAATATCCCCTGTAAAATTCTATAGTCCCCACAAAGAAGGTACAAGCATGTTTCAACAAAGAGCCTCACGGTCGCGTCGTCAGGCAGCGGAAGTTATCTCGTGGTTATCCTTGATTTCTTCATCGACGAAAAAGCTCAGAAAAAATTATTATCCTCTTGCAAGATTCTGTCGGTCGAAAACATGGCGATGGGCTCGACGACACGAAGATACTCGGGAACGATGTCTTCAACCTGGTCCGGCAGCACAGTGGTCGACTCAAACGCAAAAAAACATCCAACATCCTGGACGCGCTTCACGAGGTAAGCCCTGCGAACTGACACTTGATGAGATGTTTGCCAGTCTTCAAACACTGGGGGAGGGAGGGTGTTCATTCTGGATGCGGCGGAAGGCTGCGGAAGAGAATGTCTGATCAGCTCCGAATTCCTCCAGCGAGCTGTCGGTCCACGCTCCACGGCGGGCGACAGGTCCTTTATGGGTTGTGAATTTCTCCCGAATCAGCGAAATCTGGGCGCCACCATTCGTAATCTGGACGAGAAGGCCGTAAGCGGAACATACGAGAAGGATGGCGATATATTCGTATGTGCAACGCGGTTCGGAGGCGTCAGGTATGTGGGCATTCTCCGAAATTCATCGACTCAGGTGCCGAGGGAGCTCCAATCGAGGCTTTTCCGATTTCTATCGAGTTTCCTCATTCCATAGGATCTACGATACGCGTACCGATCAGACGATCCCGTCAATGTGGTTCAAGCGTGCAAATCCCGAAGAATCCATCACCGAGTGCACGGTTTCGCCTGACGCCCGCTACCTTGCATACTCGATGACCATGGGAGGAAGTGAGTTCGAAATTGAATCCAGATCGCTCCGACGATGTTTCGGTTGAGTTTCAGTACACCGATCGATAGTTGACTAACACTGTACCCCAATCAGTGGTTTTGCAGCCGATGGAAAGAGAAGACGCGCCCGCGAGCTGCTTCCAGCTCGAGGGGCGCCTTGCCGCGAGGAGCTTTGCCGCGTGTCTCAAGTTCGCCCCGTCTAGAGACGAGATAATTGCTGGGTGAGTATCTCCGGGACGGGAATCCTCCGTCAAGAGATGATCCCGCTGTCCAGGGAGACTCACAGAATTTTTCCTTTCTAGCACCACGGACTCAAGTATATTATTTTTCGATCTCAAGTCATTGAAACAGACGCAACAGATAACGACTCAGGCGGGTCGAATCCGTGGACTTGCCCTCGCGGATCCCTACTCGCAGATATTTTATACGGGTATGAGAAACTCTCGACTCTGTCACATTTCGGATGAGACTCATTTCGCGGATTCGTTCAGTTCGAGGGAGTCGAGTCTACAGTCGAGGGACGATTTCAGGCGGCGACGATGGTCTGATCAAAGTTTGGGACCGGCGGACTGTGCAAGGATCAGATAGTCAACCAGTGGGTTACCTCGCTGGTCATAGGAATGCGGTTCTCTTCATCGACTCGAAAAACGACGGCAGATACCTCATATCTTGCAGTCACGACCAATCGATTAAATTATGGGACATTCGAAGCATGACCGATAAGAAAGCAATCCAAGAGAGGAGACCGCTGCAAGGCAGTATTGAGTGGGAGTTGAGATTGGTTCGACCCAACCGGACAGATAGTTGGGCATCTCCTGCTTCCGGCGACGCCAGCGTCCTGACATTCAGGTAAAAGCTCTCCTTCCTCGGATGATCTATTCCTTATCACGAACTCTGTTTCGCAACCATTGCCACTGTGGAATCTATTTTTCGGGAGCTGTGGGTGGAGAATAGAATCGGCTCCCTCCGGTAGCGAGATCGCGACCTGTTTTCTCAGCCGATAGCGATTCTCTTGCAGAACGATTCTCGTCGACGAGACAGAAATTCACTGTCGTTTCTCTCCGATGGCGACAACGGGACAACGCTTCGTTTATGCTGGCTGCCGATCAGGTCGAGTGAAGATATTCGATATCTTGAGCGGGAAACTAGCGATGTCGAACGGTGAATTCGGTCCATACGCCTGTCTCCGTGACGTGTCGTGGCACCCGTACCTTCCAATCATCAAAGCAACCAGGGTAGGTTGGGCTGAGGACTCATCATCAAACTCGGATGGACAGCGGTGCGACTCCAACCAATTATGGAATCTCGTTCACTTTCAGCTCTGCGGCTTCGTGGATGAATATCGGTACTCCGCGGCACCCCAGAAAGTTGTTCCCCACGAATACGACGAAATCTACCGCGAGTCTCCCAACCCTCTATTGGGCTTGTATAGAGATATTGTGCCTGGGAGACGTGTTGGTCAACGTCTTCGATTCTAGGAGCCCAGGGCTCTTCCGTTGTGCGAAGCCCATATTTTACCATTCTTGTGTAGCTGCATGACCACGGATCGAAGCGAGATGGATCACATGCGTCAGCGATCACTATCGATCTGGTCACTTACGCTAGCTGGGACTCATATCTCTCATCCGCGTTTTCTCATACAGATCGTTATATGACCTTCTATTGGAGCAAGCCCTGGAGTTAGAGAAAATACGGTATACCAAGATCATCCGATTGGTGTGCCCTGCGGCATCCAGTGAGGATGAAGGATAGTTCATCGGGGATCGTTCGGGAGCGGGAAAATGCCCTCGAGCAGTACGGCTTTTGTGCCCGGCGGGAATCTCCTTGGTGGGAAAACATGTGACATGTTGTTGGAGCTCAGAACCGTTTTCGACGCGACTGTTCTTGACGCAGGGGTCGACTTCCACAAACCTGTATACCGTTCGCTGTCGGTTCTCCGAAAAAACGCGCCTTCTGAGTCCTAGATTTCTGGATCCCGGGGACTCATGCATGAGTTATAACTTAAACGAGGATAATGAGGACACGGCTCCGCCCGGAGGAAAGCGCTGCGGCTCCTTTAATGCATGGCGCCGCTTTTGCAAGAGACGTTTTTCTTAACTTAAGTGTTCACCATCGACGTTGGAGACTATGTACACTTCATCCTCGTCAATTCACTTGTGGAGGGGCTCCAGGCGCATTCTTCGGAGCAGCCATCAAAGTCATCATCTTCTCTTGTACAGTCTCTGTCACAGCATCCCGTAACCGGACCTAAGACGGATGTAATATTTTTTAATAAATGATGCACTGGACTCCGACAGAAAGCGCTGTCGAAAACATAAACTCCCATATTCATTCCCCTTGTGTCAAGCCTTGCTGCAAAGACTGTCAGCCGCGAAAGCTACCGCTCGAGGAGGCGTACCTTTTCCTGAGCAGCTTTCTGTACTTTGTCGATCTGGTCCTGAACCAGTTTCTCTTTGCGTTTGAAAATGTCTCCCGCATCTTTTACGTCGCGCTCCACGAAGTAGCCGGTGCCGATACCTGCGGTGCAAACATTCGGAATCCAAAGTCTCGACCGTCCCAGGGGGAACCAATTGTGCTGGAGGTGGAGTCGATGCGGGATTTCTCTTGATTCATTTGTATCTGCCCATCCGGTGGCCAACTCACCTATCGTCGCTTTACCACCGCCCACCAGGTAGCCCGGGACGTATACGGAGCCGGAGAGAGGTACAAGGACTTCTTTGCCATCATATTCTTTCCCTAACTTCGACAGACAGTCTCCGGAGGTGAAGCATTTGTCCATGACCACTAGAGGGGAAGCAAGGGGTCACAGGACATTCGGCAGAGGAGATCTCTTCATTTTCCCCCGAAGGAATATATGGATCAGTTCTTGAATGGACTTTCGCATGGCAGGAGGATTGACTTGCCTTTCAGCGTTTGGATGGATTGGCCCATGTACTCGATATCTTCGTCGAGTTCTTGCTTCATTTGCAGCAATGCTTCCACGGGGGTGAGCTCCAACGGTTGTGGGCGACCGACTGCCTGTTTCTTGGCCATTTCTTTGTTGAGGCTTCAACTTCAAGGGAGAATCACCAAAACGAACTGTCAGTTCCCTCCGAAGACTCCAGCACGCGGCTGCAGACAACCAAATAGGGAAGGCGCGAGGTGTGTTTGCGGTACCACTGTCTGTTGGGACTCCGGAGCAGACGACGGGGACGACGGATTTCAATTGACTGATCCCTCCTCTAGCAAGTGTGCTTCTCCAGAGAGCAACTGGTGGGGGGCGACCTTGCGTTGAATGATGTTAGATGACGCCGATGGGAGAATTCCGAGCCTCTGGTACCAGGAAGGAGAATGGCTGTGATTCGACACGGGACCGATGTGGGACGTATCTAGGACGCCTCTCTCCCATTGATATCTGAATATGAAAACAACAACAAACTGCCCGGCACTTTTCGACTGCGCTTTATTCTCCTCGATTATGTCATTTCGATAGGCTTGCGAAGGGAAAAGCTCGGACCCTCAGTCCAATCGATGAAGGGCGGACGAAGTAATCGCCGGGTCAAGGGAAATATCAGTGGCGGGCATCGTGAGCAATAATCTCTCTGAGTTCCTGAGTCGATCAATTGAGATCCTGGCGATTTCATCCGCCAGCAGTACTGGGTAAGAGTGCAGTTTTTACGAACTGAAGGCGAGAAGAGCCACTGACAACCGCGGTCAAGGAACTGCAAGGTGAGTAGTGTACCGTAGCCTCTGGGTCTCCGGGCGAGAAGAGCAAGAGGTAAGGATGATGGCTGGAGGAAGTCGCCCACAGTCGACGCAGATGATTGTCGACAGTTCAGCCTCTCCGAAGTCCCGCATCCACCAATAGCTCCTGAATGCATTCTACTTCTTCCATCATGAATCATGACGAAACCGCTGACTTGCCTCTCCCGAGGGCCGCTGGAAGTCGTTCACTGGTGAGGTTTCTTCTTCTTCCTCAGCTCGCGATGGCTGCTGAGAGAGCACAAATCGATACGTCAACCCTGAAGACGCTCATTCTGAAGAATCTGCCACCCTGTTTGAAAGATAGGGCTTCACTTCTCGAGGCCATGTCGAAATACGGCGAAGTTCAGAAGGTGACCTTCCGGGATACCGACAAAGCGATCGTTGGCTTCAGGAACCATACGGACGCGGCCTTTGCGAAAAATGCCTTGAGAAAGGTAGGACACCGTTCGTATCCATATCGTCTCGTCATAACTGAATCGATGATCGCTAGCTGTCAGCCTCAAAGCCCTCTATGTTCATTTTTCCGCCTAATTTTCAGGAATCGCCTCAATACAAGCAAATCTCGATACAGTGGTGCAGTCTGCAGCGATCTTCCACGGAGGGCACCCCGATCGTTTCGACGGACAAGACCAATCCCTTTGACGCCCGGGCTGATCTCTCATCGACTGCATCGGACAAAGCCTCTGAAGGAGATGATTTCCATTCTCTCAGCTCGAATCCGGCAGTATCGAGACCTGAGGACCAATCGAGCGGGAAAGCACCGCAGACGAAATCTCTCTTCGGAAAACCACGTGCCGACACGTCGAGCGCTTCGCGAAACCTCTTCTCGAGAGCGTTGCAGGAAAGCACGGCATCTTCGTCGGCGCCTGACAGGGTCACTGGCTCGAGTGGGACCATCGCAGCTGCACTTTTCAATCCGTCTAAGGAATCGCCATTCACGGCGAGACCATTCGCTCCCGGGTCCGAGAATTTTGGATCCACGAATCTTTTCCAGAAGCAGCGCTCGAGCAATAATCCCGCCCGAGATGAGGGCCCGTCAGGCGACCATTCGACGAACCTCTTCGCAGGTGTCGGTAGTAGTACGACGCTGTTCGGCAAGCCTCTTCCTTCGGCGAACGCCAACACCCTACCGAAGGGAGATGTGGGCCGAGGCTTCGCATTGTTCCAAAAGCAGAATGAACAGCAGTCCGGAGGGTCCTCTCCGAATTTCTTCGCAAACCTCTCCGCTCCGAACGCGTCTTCATCGAAAGCACCGATGACTCTTTTCGGGAAACCAGTCCAAAGCGTCGCCACTACGGAGACCGAGTCCGGCTCTGGCCTTTCCGCCCAGAATACCTCGAAATTCGCCTTCGTTCGGTCCCCTGCTCGACCTGACTCGTCACCGAGACGAGGGCCGAACCCTCCACTGCCGCCCACGAAGTGGCTTGCGGGGGCCCCTCAACCACAAAAAGAATCCGTGGTTCGTCCCCCGTTCGGCCCGAGACCCGACGGCCCTTCCAGTCACACAAATCGGGTGTGGGTTCGGAACGCGGCTCCTCCTGCCGCCCAAGCATCCTCTGCCAGATCCCTGGATTCGCGATATCAGCTCGACCACCGCAGCACGCTCCCGCCGTTTACTGGCATGGAACCTACCGCCCCTTCCGCGCCCCCGACGAGTATGGTCGCTCCTCAAAGACCCATGCAGACGCGCTCCCAGATGAACTTCCCTGGGTCGGCCAAACTCAATGAGCTGTTGAGCCATTCGGCAAATACGCTCAATGATCGTCACAAACTCCTGGAGATGAAGGACAAGATCGTGCGTGAAGTCCTGAGCAGCCAGCCCCAGTCGGGCGCCATCAAAGGTACTTGTCCCGATATGTGTCCAGAGAAAGAACGCTATCAGAGGGGGCTCAGGAACTTGGTCGATAAGTACGAGATGATTCAAGGAGCCGACGGCGTTATGGATCCCAGTCGTATGGTAAAAGAATATCAGAGATCCTCCGCGGATCAGGAGTTCCCGCTCCCGTATGAACTGCGATCTCCAGCCAGTCTCAACTTGACGATGAATTATCTGATTCGATTCATAATCTCCGCTCAGCCGGCGAGCAATTGCGGGGAATGGTTCACATTCATCTGGAATCGGACGCGCGCCATCAGGAAAGACATAACTCAGCAGGAAATCGAGGCGGATCCTATATCGACAGGAATCCTGGAGAGATGCAGTCGCTTCCACATCCACTGCGCTCACGCTCTCTGCGAGGAAGACCCGCACAGTTTCGATCCGAAGCTAAATAACGAAAACCTCACCAAATGCTTGAAATCCTTGAAGTACTCTTATCATGATCTCAAGCTGGAAGGCGTTCGCTGCACGAACGAAGCCGAATTTGTCGCATACGAAATTCTCATCAACTTGAACGACGCCGGAATCGCGAAGACCATCACCGACCTGGAGCCGGAAATCCGACGCCATCCATACGTCAGGTTCGCTATTTCTGCGATGTATGCCCTTCACGGGGGGAACTACGTGCGTTTCTTCAATCTCGTGAACAGCTCTCCGTATCTGGTCGCCTGCATCCTGCATCGATTCTTCACTGAAGTTCGTGTTCGCGCAGTTTCGGTCTTGTCGAAAGCGCTCAACAAAAGCGAAGGCCTCACTTTGGGCACGCTCACAGCGGATCTCTACTTCAACAGCGAAAGCGAATGCTCGGCGTTCATCAACAACTTCGGAATCGAAGTCGGCGAATACGGGTCGCTTAACCTCAAGGCTTTCCAGCAGTGTGAATCAAGACTAGAAGATACGTTATCGCGGAGAATTTCGCAAAAAATGGGGCCGTCTCTTGCCCAAGTCGTCTACGGACCGGGGGAGATTCCCAGTCACAACTACGCGCCCCAAGACAGTTTCACACAAGACGGTATGCTCAAGAGATCCTCGTTGAACCTCCCGGAGGGTGCGGAGGATCAGGCGGATCATTTCGCGCCTGCGATCGAATTTCAACCCCCCTCGCAGCTGCCTGCGAAGCGTCGACAGCTGACCGACGAAGAGCTGCAACCCCAGGTCGATGCCTTGCTCAATGAGGTTGTGAACGAGCAGGTAAGCTCGCTGCTCAGGAACATCGGAGAGCGACAAGCCGTTTCGTGTCAAGTTCTCGACTCGGTCACGAACTCAGTGGTCACGGATGTGGTCAGAGAAGTTTCCAAGTCTATCTTGGAGGCTGAACTCCAAGCCGACCGTCAGAGACGGCAACTTATTTTCGACAATGTTTGTGCCCAAGTTTGCGAGGAATTCCTGTCGAAGCATGTCAGGGTGTTCACCCGAGCGATCGCCGCAGAATGCAGGGCGAAGACAGTGGAAAACGTTTGCGCGGCGATCTCTCTATCCAATCAAGTACGGCTCATCGATGACGTGGTGCGAGTTATGGTCAGCCAGGTCGCTCGAGCGGAGCACGAAATTAGCTTCAACGCATATCGGGAGAGTCTCGCGAAAACTCTCCGCATCAATCATCTGGCTCGCAGATATTCTCGCAAGTGGAGACGTTGGGTCGAGATACAGAAGGAGGTTCGAGATTTCCCCGCCGGACCCGTGCTTGGAATATCCAAAGACTATCGAGGCATCAAACGGAAGTCCCCGTCACAAATTCGTCGATTGCAGTTGGATTGGGACGCCCTGCGGGAAAAAACGCTCTCACACGAACACGCCGACAGTAGACCAATCCATCTGGAACGGATTTTCCAGCAAATCGTTAAACTCGTGATCGTTTCGAACGGAGCAACGCAGGCGTTCGAGAAATGTCGGCGCTTCTTTAATCACGATCTATCCGTGCGAATATGTCCCGCAATCCCGCGGAGTCTGTGCGGGTCGAATGCGGTATTGGTCCTTCCTGGAGATGATCCCGCTTTCGTGATCAGGGTCCGGAATTTGACGAGGCGTCTTTCTCCTGCCCCTGCGATCGGGGTTGTTTGGACCGATTGCGAGCCTCAGACTGACATCTACGACGCCAAACACGTGCGATGGGAAACTGATAAAGCCCCATTGCACGATGTGGTTACAGATGTCCTCGGAATGCTCGCCGAAGATATACCTGCCGAACCGAAATTCGAGGAAGCGAGTTTACCAGCGTTCGTCCGTCGGGGTATCGAATACTGTTTAAGCAAAGTTTGCGTCCCAAAAGATTCTCTGCCGACTTCCGTGAAGCTGATGAATGACATCGTCAATCATTTGGCCTCCGTGGCTTCGTCGGAAAACCTTCTTCAAGTGAATTCTCTTCGTGAGTCTACATTTTTTTCGTCAGAGCTTCGAATCATATCAGAAGACTGATCTTGCTCGAGCAGAACAAATACGCGTGATCATTCCCTTTCAGGGCTGGGGACTGCTTGGAACAGTCGTGAGAACCTGTCGAGTTTGTATCAGCGGATATCTGCGCTCACACTCCCAATACCGGCTTCCAATGACCGATCGGATTTCATTCGTATGGTCGAGGATGACAGAAAAGTGACCCTTCTGATAATCAAAGTTAACATCAAAGACTTCGAGGACGACTTCACTTTCCTTGGCCACATATATAATCAGCTCTGCTACTCTCTGCCCTGTAAGCACCCATTGACGATCACTCCTGATTCCATCTATCAGTGACTGAATTAGCGACATAGAGGAAATAACAGCGATAGCGTACCCCCAAGCCACGGACATCGCGAGCCGTGGAGGGGAATGCCGCTGGGTGAGGAGTATTAATGGACGATCGATTGCAGGCGGGACAACGGTGCGGTATCTGCTGGAAGACTTTGAAAATTACGTAGTCCCTGGCTTCTGGTTTTCTCGACCGGTGCCCGAAAATAATCTCCCGGACTCGGAACTGCCGGACTCTGTCGAGCCTGAGTTTTATTTCATAGAGGTTGAGGAGCTGGAAGAGCAAACACCGCCTCAGCGATCCCTTGATGAAACCAAGCGGGAGGTCCGGGAACTCCTCCAACGATCCCAGCGCACCCGGATGCTCCGGCCGCTAGAGCGTATGTACATATTTCCACATTTCACCGATTACCCTCTCCCGCTGTGGTAATCCAGCCTGAGGATATCGATCTGCCGACAGGCAGACTCACAAGTATTAAGATTCCTCCTTTCCAGCTGTGATCACTTGTATCGACAATACTCGAGTCGAGGCTGCCGATCCCGTGGTGGGAAAGAGTAAACGCAAGACTGCCGTAGAAGCGACCCAACGGGATCCGCCTACGCCGGACTTCAGGACTAGCAAGCAGATGAAGCTGGCCATGACAATCGATGATCTGAAACGAACAGTCGATCGCTTGAAAGAGAATCGTAAATATGAGAATTTCCTCCGGAATTCGGCACGGGAAGAAGATTGATCGAGACGTTTGTGGATACTGAGATCGCATCATGTTGATTGTTTGAATTCCGAGTGAGTCTGCTCCTCTCAATCGCGTTGCCCGACAATGAGGAGCGATGCTTGCGGAATGCTGACCTGTAATTATTAGGCTAAGAGTTTGCTATTTTTCTATGTTGTAAATGAGGAGATGTTCATGTTGCGAGTTGACTTGTCGGTACCATATTCGAATAAAAGTTTTATAATGGATCGCGACGTCGAGCAGATGCCCGGGAACTTGTGTAGTGAGGGAGCAGCCACCGAGGACCCGGGTTTCCGGAGCGTCTCCAAGAATCCAGGAATAACTCTCATAGAAGCTTTGACACGGATTCTCGATAGACCCAGGGAACACAGTCTCTTGTCCGAAACAATCGATGTATTATAGCTCGTCCAGATCCGCATTAAAAGAAATTCCATTGTGAAACTCAGAATCCAGCGCTCCGTCTGATGCGAGCGAAGGATAGAACTCCCTGCACCGCACACGGACATGCGCCCGACCCCGCAGTCCGTCTCGGGTGGCGATTCTCCCCGGACTGCACCTGATATCTGCATGATGCGATAAAGGTATTGTGGCCGTCGACGGCGGCTCAATGCTGTCGGCCTGTCTTGGAGGACTCGTGTTAAAAATAGCCTCCTCTCCGAGAGACTAGCGCTACTACTAGAACCCAGAACCAGCAGCCGTGGTCTGCGCCGCCATAGAACTCGGGCCCTCCTAGTAACCAGCGAGCCCGTTCGTTGATCGTGTTCTGGTTCTGCTTTGAAAATGCCTATGAATCGCCGGATTTGAATCGTTTCTTCAGTGGGGGTGACGTACGATTCCCATCGCTCACCGTGCTGAGATAATTCGCGCACGATGAGCGCCAAACAGGCGGCGGCCTGCACCGGTTTCATACCGGGAATGGTTCGGCCTACCAGGTGCAAGAAGTGTTTCGGAGACATCAGCGACCACAAACCAAAAGAACCGGTGCTGCGACGGAAAAGCGTCAAAGACGAAGAAGCAAATGCCTCAAATGGACCTTCGTCGAGGAGTCGAGGCAACAGTATCGCCGGCCCTTTCGAAGTGATCACCAACTCGGATTCGGGTATGTCGTCCGCGCAGCGAGGAATCTCCCCGAAAGTCCATACGTTCTCCGGTATCGAAGCTCTCGGTGGGAGCGCAAGTGTGCTCCGTGCTTGCGAAATGCCTCACAAGAACCTGACGATCGTTGAAGTATCCATCCGAGAATTGTTTATAGGGTCGTAAACTCGCCCAGCTTCTTTTCGAATAATTTCGACCCAGTTTTGCCGGACCTCGGAAAGGGTGCGAAGTCGATCGTTAGCGCTTAGAAGTGCCGACATTTCGAGATATCGGCCAATACCAAGAGATATTCGAATTCCTGCCGAGTCTTTCTGATGCACACGAGGGAATCTGGGCATATTCTTCGGCGTAGGACTATTGCCTCGAAAGACACCCTTTGTCGTATTGCGCTCCAACAGCTGACCATCCCAAAATACCTGAAAGATAGTAGAACTGGCTCCCAGGGGACCTCAGGACGAAATTTTCGGGCGCTGTTGGATGCGGCAGCTCGCGTAGCCCGCAACGACGCCGATGATGCCGGCAGGCGATTCGCTCCTGGTTTCTGACCCAGAGCGTTTATTCAATGCGAATCAGGGAGAAATCACGCGGGATTCCCGATGTCTCAGATCAGGCTGGTTTGTGGATCAGCCGGAGATGCGGCTCTCCCCGTTCCCAATTAGACAACAGTCTATGATTCGGAGAATTCATGATCTCTCATCTGTTTTCCGCCCTGAGGAAGGCTTTCCACTCCGTGAATTGAAATCGCGAAGATCGTTCAGAGAAGGGCCATAATCGATTCCGGTCGCAGGGACGTCTCGCGGAGATGCGAATTTATGTTTATCGGAATCGCGGTGTTTATGCTGCTAAAGACCCTGCAGACTTCGACTATATCTTTCCAGAATGACTACCGTCCGCAATCTCCTGTCAGATAATGTTTGCATCGAAGCTTACTGGCAATGAAAGATGAAAGAAGACGTTCTCTCGTGTCTAGCTAAGTTCAGCAGTCTCCCGTCACCTGGCTCCAGAAGTCCGACATGGGGTTCAGGAAGGATATCGATCTCTCAGTGATGCGGCATTCCAAATATCGACGCTTTTTCAGCGGATACTCCTGTGACGGTCTGGGCGTTCGCTTCGAATTCTTCTCGATAATCTAAGCGTTAGCAGACTTGGGCCAAGGCCACTGACGAGAGCTCGCTCAGCAGACAACGTCACGCATGCTTTGTGAAGAGCATCTTCGAGCTATAATGAGAAAAGACTCGCGGGCTCGTTGTCAATGGATACGATCTCGTGGAAAATGTCTTGGGGAACCCACAAATCCAGCTCTTGGGCACAGTCATGGATCCACAAAGCAAGCCAGACTCATAAATTGAACATAATTCGCAGGCAACTCGGCGGATGTGGAGTTCATTTTGAAAGTTAAGAATGCGACTGGCATTCGAAGACAGAGCGATGATGCTCGATCCGTATCGACTGTGGACACGATGTGTACCGCTACAACGGACACCACAGATACGACCCTCCAATTCCAGGACAGCTATGAGGACCTCGTAGATATGGTGAGCATCGGTGCCGAAATCGATTTCAACGATCCCAGAACTCGTTGACGTTCCGTAATTCCAATGCAGTTGAATCATTATTGGACTCGGGCAGGTCAATGGTCTGAAGAAACAACTCGAGGCCGCAGAGCAGCGAGCCACGAACCTCGAGAAAGAAAAGTCTGAGCTCTTGCAAAGGAAAACAGCTCCTTCGGCGGACGACAAGAAGAACCTCGATAAGACAGCGTCCGAAATGCTTCAGCTCCGCACTAAACTCCATGAAATGATGTCAACCAACGAAGAACTCAAGGTAACCTCTGTGCGGTGTTGATCCGTGATCTTCGACTCGACCCTTCGCATCGGAGAATGGAGGCCCTGAAGTTCCGCCTTCTTTCTTACAGGACGATAATAAGGTCATGAGCTTGCAAGTGAAGGAGCTGGAAGCTGAACTGGAAACATTGAAGGACACGAAGCAGAATTCCAGGGAGGAGCTAGTGTCTTTACGCAGCAAATTGTCGCAAGCGGAGGCACTGTGCGAGGAAATTATGGAGGAGAACGAACGCTACAAGAAAGAAACTCGTGATCTCGAACAACAAATCGAAGAGCTGCACGACAACTTCAGAGAAGACCACAACAACGAGTTTCTCGAAGTGAAACGGGATCTCGACGCGTCGCAGAAGAACTGCCGGTACGGCTTCTGCTAATCCTCGTGCATTGTTGTGCTCGAGTAAAAATTTCCTCCACGCCCCGCCGGAATTCGTCTCCGGGAGAGATCGCCACGGGGTTAGAGACTTTTCAAAGCGATTCTCTCCTCCGCAGGGTGCTTCAATTCAAGCTCCGGAAAGCCGAGAAGCGTGAAGAACAATTAGAGCTCGAGAAATCTCAACTGGAAGAGAGCATCAAAGAGTTAGAGAAGACCACGAGGACTCATGTGGACAAAACCAAAATGCGTAATCTGGAAGAGGAGCTCCGGATCGCTACAGAACTCAATAAACGTCTTTCCAAGGAACAGTCGGAGAGACCGAAGAGTCTGGTGAGTGAGGATCCCTCGACGAAGTTCGTCTCGATCAGGATTTTCCTTCCATGGGCTCCACCATGCCGTGCTGAGATACGTGGTTCTGAGCGCCCGGATTTCTTCTAGGGAGGGGACGAGTATGAGCGGCTCAGGCGAGACCTACTCGATAGCATGGAGCGAGAAACGGACGTGAAGGAACAACTCAAGTATTCGGAAGAGGAAAATCGTAACGCTAGGAAGAAGCTAGCGCAGCTGGAACAAGAAAACGAGGTTTTGATAATGCAGGTCCAGAAAATGACGCAAGGCGGCGCATCCTCAGGGGATCATATGACGACCGAAGAGCTAAAGGTCCAGCTGGAAATTCAGGAGAAGGAGATACTCGTCGCTCGTCGACGGATGGAAGAGCTGGATCAGAAGAACGATGGTAGAGTTTTCCCCTAAATTATACAGGTTACCTCGACAGAATCAACCCACCGAAGAGACGGTCCTGCTTGAGCTGCGTGATCTTTTCAGCTCTCCAGAAGGAGGTCAAAACTCTCGAAGAGAAGCTCATCAACATTCCAACTATGAAATTCGATTTGTCCAAGTTGCCGCCTGGATCGGACAAGACTTTGTCTGGTCAAAAAGTCAAGTTGCTAGAGATGGAAGCGAGAGAACTCCGAGCCAAAGTCATCGAGAAGGAAAGAGACATCGAGAGATTGAACGCAGAGCTTCAGGTTCAGAAGAAGAAGGTATCGAAGCAGATGATGGTTCGGAGTCGATCCCTCGACGGAGATCTTCAGGTAGGTCCGACCCATTGCTCACCGTGCAATTCCGCCTTGCCGATCTCTAATCTACGTCAGGAAACTCATCGCTGGCATACGACTCCTGTTACACAGGGTAATCCTCAGGTTGATACGAAGAAAAAACTACAAGTTGTCGAAGAAGAGGCCATGATGCTGAAACAAAAAGTCGCCGACCTCGAAGCAGAAATTGAGCGGATAACTGAGGAGAATAAACGACTGCAAATGCGTGCTTCCCGAAGACCCACTCCGAGTCCAGCCGATCAACTCCAGCTGGAGAACAGTGAATTGAAGTCGAAGCTCGATGAGCTCGAGAAGAAGCTGGCGGAGGTCAATGCGACTCGCAGAGGCTCCTTGGGGAAACCGCCCAGCGGCTCCGAGAAGGAACAGATGGATGGTGAGTAAATTGCATCGAGTGTATCCGGTGGTCGCTCCCATGAGTCTCCCCGCTTCCCACCATCGCCGGGGATCATTAGAAGGCAGTGTCGAGTCAAACGCTCGTTCCGGGGGACGCTTCCTGAGCAGATTTCCCTTGTTTGAGAACAGCGCGGGGCGAATTCAAGATCTATTGCACTCCCCCAGCCCTCAAGAGATCGCTCAAGTCCAAGGAAGACCAAATCAAAGCTCTAGAAGAGAAAGCTCGACACCTCGAGGGTGAAGTGAACCGTGTCAGTGCAGAGAACAAGAAGCTGGTGGATTCTTCCGGCTACCAACGGAGACCACCGAGGATCATTCGAGAGATGGCAACTGCGAGAGAACTCCGAGAAATCATCAAGGATCTGGAGGATGAGATCGCGGATCTCCAAATGAACCTCAGGAGCAGCGAGGTAGGCAAGAAAACGTGTCGATCAGAGCTTTCGGCGCGCTCTCCTCGACCAGCTTTGATTGCAAGGAAATATTATTACAGATCACCAAAGATGGCAAAATATCGGACCTGAATAAGGAGCGAGCTCGCTTGCGCGAGGAATTAGGGAAAATGGAGGCTCGTCTTCGGAGCGGTACGACATCGAGTGGCAACGACGACAAACTCCGCTTGCTCACCCAACAATTAGACACACTGAATCAAACGGTCAAACAATTGCAAGCCAAGCTGAAAGAGGCTCAGGTCGAACTTGCCTCCAAAACCAAGGCCATCGAGAGCTCGCACTTGCTCAACAAGAAATTGGACCGAGAAGTTCAGCAGCTGAAGGAAGAGGCGAGTTTATCGCATTGAATAAAATTCTAACTCATATAGCGAGCCGAGATTGGCCCTTACGTCCCTTATCTGAATTCCGTACCTTGTCGATCTTCAGCTCGATGTAGCGCGGAGCTCGCGACCCGGCGGCGATCGAGACAAAGAGCGACGGATCAGGGAAGAGTACGAGAAGAAAATCGAGCGAGCTGTTCAGGAAGCCAAACAAAGTCTCTCCGAAGAGGTCGAAACATATCGACGCAAAATCCAAACGGTCCAAGCGCAGCTCGATCAACGAGAGGAAGAGCTCAAGAAAGAGGCGGAGAAGATTCGCAGTATGACGCAATCGTTCAGAAAGGATAAAGACGATTGGAACACGAAAATCACGGATTTGGAGGAAAAACTTAGGTGAGGCGATTCATTCAAGTCTTCCGGAGGTAAGATTGGAGCGTTCGTCCAGCTCCGTGGACTAAGTCAAGGAATTCGCTCCCAGGTCCGAAGTTCGTCGTCGGGAACGGCTCGAGAGGGATCATGAGAATGAACTCAAAGCGAAAGCAGAAGAAGTCAATGATATCCAGAACAAAGTATTCTCAATGGAAAGAGAATATCGGCGACTTCAAGGGAAACTAGACGATGGGGAGCATGCTTCCAATCAACAAATCAAACAATTAGAGAAAGATCTCAACAAGAAACAGGTGACCATGCAAGGAGATATCCTCGTCTTAATCTCGTTTCGAAAATCGATCAAATCAATCGGAAACAGACTGGAGCTGAAAGAAATTCTGTTACGCAGCAAGAGTTGGAGGAGGCCGTGAATAAATACGAACTCTTAGAAGAGGAGCACATAAACGTGAGGATGAAGCTCCAGGAGGAGAAGGAGCGCGCCGAAGGCAGCGCTAAACAGAGTCGACGTGATTACGAACGAGTCAACATGGAGTTGACGGCTCTTCGCGAAAGTGTCCAAAGTCGGCACGATGCGCACACCAAGGAGAAGCTCGAATTCCAGAGCTACATCCACGAGATCGAGATGAAACTCAAGCGCTTCGGGGAAAGCGAGCACGAGAAACAAAAGATCAAACACGCGCTCAAGGATCGAGAAGCGCAGCTGGACGAAGTGAGGCGAAGCGAACGGAGCTTACGGGAAGAACGGGAAAGGCTCAAGACTCGGGTGAGTCTTGAACTCACAGCTAATAAGCTTTTGATCCGGTCCGCACATCCTAGGATCCAATCCAGATGGCCTCGCTGTTTGACGTCGGTCCCGCACATAGTCTCCTCGAATCCTCCCGTTCCAGGTCGATGAGCTGCAAATGAAGGTCGGAGAGTTGGAGCGCGCCGAGCGTGGTCTTCGCACGCTGCAAGTGGGTAATTCGCAGGAGAGCAGTGAGCTCAAGGCGAAACTTCAGCATTCCGGACATGCGCACAAGGCCGAACTTGCGGCGCTTCGAAGCGAATACGAGGGCAAACTCGAAATCATGGGTGGTGAAGTTGACTCGATGCAAGGTCAAATCATCTCGCTTGCGAGAGAGAGGGACTCGCTCAGGGAGCAGCTCGAAGAGGCGGCGAAGGTGAGAACATTCCGCTTGCCAACCGATTATTATTATCATCCGACTGTCGGCAGCCATTCTCCATCCACCGGCGAGTCGGTGGATTCGGGCAATCTCGGGCGAGCCTCCTGAATAGAGGAAATGTTGAGTAATCAGCTCTGGAAGGTTTCGAAGGTTCAATGCCACGGCGAATTCCCCCCAGGAGCTGAACCGGCTGAAATCGAATGCGGTCCGCGACGAACGCGTCAAGAGCAGGGAAGCTGCGGAAAATGCTTTCAAGAAGATGGACGAGCTCCGTTTCCAATCGCAAGAAGTAAAAAACCAATTGGACCACACCCTCTCAGAAAACCGCAAAATGAGAATACAGATGGACGCCGACAAATCCTCTTTTGAGATCCAGGTCGCCGCGCTGAAATCCAAATTGAATCAGGCAAGTCATCAGTTCCACGCAGGGGGAAGGGGAGCGCCGTCGACGGATCATTCGATCCCTCGCATCGGGCTCAAGTTCCTCTCCGAGGACAAACTCACCGAATTCTGGATAACCCGCAGTACGAGGAAGCCAGGCTCCTGGAGACCTCCCGGGGTAGCAACAAGCTTTACGCGAAGACGAGGCTTGAGCTAGCGTGGGACAAAGAACGCCAAGATCAGCAGAAAGTGCTACACGATGCTCAGAGAATTCTGCGCGACTTGAAAGAACGACTCCTGAGAGCGGAACACGAGAGAGAACAACAACGCGAGATGTTGAACAAACAGATGCAGAAGCAGATGAGTGAGCTCAGCGAAGACCAAATCACCAAGGAGCTTCTCGACGTGAGTATTTTCTGTCCGGCGCGTCCACGCTGTTACGCTCGTTTATGGATGAACGCTCGTTTATGAAGCTCGTTTATGGATGTGCTCTTTCGTTCACTCTAATGGTTGACTCTTTCGACGCTACAGCTCCAAGCCGAACTGGACGAGACCAAAGAGAACATGCATCGTTTGCGGCATCATTACGAGAGGTCTAAACGAGAGCGCGAACGACTGACGCACGAGCGCGAAGAACTCAAAGCGAGGACCCTCTGTATGAATGACGTACACTCAGAAACTCAAAGCATGGCCCAAGACTTCGCTCGAATCATGGAAATGATGCAAGCCGACACCGAGTCGGCGAAGTCGAGACCATTGCGACCAAGCAACAAAGAACAAGTTAAGAACGAGCTTGAGAAACTAGTCGGTCGCATGGAGACCGTCACCAAACTCACCCTCCCCGCCGCTCAGATAGCTCGGAATCAATCGTTCAAAAAAGCTGTGAGTGCCTCGGATGTCAACCAAGCGCTGCCCGTGATCAAGGCGCCGCCGAGAACTAAATCCAAGAAATGCATGTCTCTCGGACAAGGATTTGGTTCGGACCAGAAGATCTGGGCGGGCTCCGGAGACAGTTTAGCCTCCGGTGTCTCTCTAGCAGGATCTCAGACGTCCCTACAGAAACACACCGCGGGGTACGATAGCGATGCTTCAATCGTATCAGCTCCCGCGCGTCATTACGGCCGATCGGGAGTGGTGAGTTCCTATGATTTCATAAAGTTCATTGCGGATTCGAGCCCTCCCATTGAATTTCTCGCGGAACGTTTCTAATGCTTTGATTTCAGCGTTTCGACTCTGATAACGATCTGAGTCAAGTGTCGGACTCCGAGGGACTTCCCGGCCATAAGGTCGTGAGGAAGAAAACCTTGAAGGAACGGATTATGGGCATGAAAGCGTCAACATCGAATCTAGACCTCACTTCTGATTCTCGATCGTCCAGAGGGGGGTCATTGACGCGAACCTCGTCAGGAGAGTCGCCGCGGAGCGCTCTGAAGGTCTGAATGAGCTCTTGATCCCGATATCAGTCTGATACATAACTTTGACTTGCATTCGGTAATACATTGACTGTGCTCGATTCCTCAATATTACAGTATGCCCCACCGAAACGAACGGACTCAAACAGCTCGTTTTCCGAAACGAGAGTTTAGATTAATCAGAATGACGACTCTAATGGCTATTCATATGATTCCTCGGTGTAAATAATGGTGTCTTTATGTAAATAATTTTCAGCGAATAAAATTTCTTATGTTTATTATATATATTCCTCTCCTCCTTGTGCTCTCCTCGCGGAATAATGAACGCGGAAACTCGATTCATACTGAAAATCCACAGGCAATACAGCTACTGCTCTTACATCACCACAGCGAGCCGTGTCAGTGCACCCGTCCGTCTCCGATCCCGCGACTGGCCGTAAAATATTGAACTCATCTCTTTCGGACGAATATAATTTCTTACGATTAATTCGCGAAGTCTTAAGAACAGTTTTCAGCTTCTCTCTTCGCCTATTGCTGAATCCAAACCACGGAAGTGAGTGAGCTTTCGGAGGTTCCGACAGTTGTCCCGCCCCGTGCCCTGCTCAATCCGTCGATAGCGTTGGTTGAGGGCTCGAAGAGTCGAGGATCGTGCAAGGCGGGGGGAGATCTCGATGACACCACGATGAAAGAGTTCCACGTAATTGACGGGACCTTGTAATTCAACTTGCTGTAGTTCTGCTCCGTATCGTGACCTGAAATTCGAGCCTCACAAAATTGAGCCTTCGGGAGAATGATCTCTATACGGGAATGGGTCACATTGAATATCATTCAGACTGAAGATCAGATCTTGGAGCATCCAGTCCAGTGCCACCCTCCTCTGGAGTTTCACCAATGAGATCACGCGAACGCTATTCCCTGGAAATATTTTCATGACAAGCCGACGATGCAAAATGAACCGACTGAGCATCCATATTTGCCCTCGACTGTAATAGCCGCACCGGTCGGCGGACGGGTCTCGGATGCTTGGGCTCGAGGGATATCCGTTTAATGAAGGTCTTCGAATGGAGGTTCATTGGGCGCATTGATCGAGTCGAGGAGGCTACTCCGGCGCGGGCAATCAGAGGACCACTGATCACCAGCAACTCCAGGGATCTGCCCATTTTCAGACTGTGCACTTCAGGAGGGACTTCTGAAGTCCATAATTATCAGGTGCTTGTGAGCCGTCATCTTCGACCGAATCTTCGACCCGGCCTTCTCTCCCCCTTCTTCAGCGGGCAGATCCGAATACGAAGCCCGGAGCATGCCTGACTGTGGCGGTCTTCTGTCGTCTGCTTCTGTTGGCAGACAGAGATGAAGCGTTTCAACAATTAGAAGCGCCGAAGTAGTTTCACAAGACGTTCTTCGGAATAGCTACGAATAATTGACTCAATGTTCAGGTAGATCTCCAATGTTTGCGAGTCTCGGCGGAATTCCGCCGAGCTAGGTAGCAGCAAAGGAGGGGAAATCAAATAGACCGTGGCGCGTATCTCCCAATCGAGATGGAGAGAAAGAGAAACTCGATCGGGCGCACGTCAGAATTCGGAAGATGTACTCCGGGCAGCGTTTAGATTAGCAGCTTCTGAATGGCTAGGCGGAAGCCGAAGCATCCTTGAGAAGCCCCTCTCCATCATCGGCATTGAAATTTATCGCGACCCCTTCGGACCGACCGCCAAATTGACCTATTATAATCTGACAATATATCGAGATCAGAGGAATCACCGTGCTAAACGCAGAGATATTGAGCTGAGATCTTACTTAACGGATTCATTCAAGTGCCTCACAAATCAAAGAATAATCCATAGGTGTTCCACCAGATGCCAAATCTAACAAATATGACCTCATCCCGTGGACTGATGCCGCCCCCTTCTTCTATCTCGGAGAGCCTCTCGGGAATTCTGCAGCTGATTGAAGACTTGCACCGGCTATCGGAAGACAAGGAATACGCTGACATAGAGTTCGTCGTTGGCGAGAGAGATCAAACGATAGTTCTCGCGCACAGTCTGATACTAAGAGCGCGGTGAGTCCCGACCCCAAGCTCATGGTCGGTAGCGATCTAGGGGCGACGGCCGATTCTTCGAAGATCTCGCGAGAAAATCATCCTTCCGGGGCTCGAGAACCTTACTTCGAAATTCACTTTTCTCTTTCCAGATGCGCCAATTTCAATGAACTCAAATCAAGCTATGAAGATCGGAGCCGGATCAGTCGATCCCCGATAACATGCGTACTGGTCATGCCGAAAGTCAAGGTAGACGAGTTTCAGTCCGTCATCCAGTACATCTACACTGGGAAAATTCATCTGCATCCCGCAATCGTTTTCGAGGTTCTGTCGTTAGCTCATGAATTCGGGATATCGGAATTGAAGTTGACCTGCGAGGATCACATAATGTCCGCGATGACGAACGAAAACGCTTGCGTCTTTCTCAAATCGGCACTGCAAGTTGGAGATCGATCTGAGAAATTCAAGGACGAGAACGCGGTGTACATCGACAAATGCACAACTTTCATTTGCGAAAATGCTGCCGAATGCCTGAAAACGCCTGCTTTCCTGCAGCTCCCCAAGAACGCGGTTATACTCTTAGTGTCTTCAGATTATCTCTGCATGAACGAGGACGACGTATGGAGGGCAGTGTTAAATTGGGCGAAGCATCAGGCCAAGGTGTCCTCAGAAGCCGAGAAGTGGACCGATCAGGAACGGAAGTCAGTAGGCGACTGTCTCGAAGGTGTCATCAATCACGTTCGAATCCTGCTCATTAATTCTCAAGTCTATGCCGAGGAAGTCGAACCGACTCGCCTCGTTTCGATGGAGCTCAGTCTCGAGCGATATAGGAACGCGGCTTTGCAGAAAAAAATTCAACCCGAAGCTCGAATTCTCAAACCGAGAGCTTCGGAAAGGCTCTTCCCTGGATCTCATCTCTTATCTGGGCCCAAGCTACCTTCGCAGCAACAACTCAATAACTGGTTCGGGAATCCATATCAGGTCTGGCGGCTCTTGCATAGAGCATCGAACCACGGCTACAAGGCGCAGGCTTTCCACGAAGACTGCGACGATATCGCTCCGCTCTTCGTAGTAGTCCTGGGTACTTCAGGCCAATTATGCGGCGGATTCACCGATGTGCCCTTCGCCAGAACCAACGGTCGCAGATGCAAATACTCAGCAAGCGAGAAGGCTTTCTTGTTCTCCTTGGTCAATGCAGCTAATCTCCCGCCGACTCGGTTCGACATTCAGAGGAAAATGTTCGCTATCCTCTCTGATGCGAATTTCGGTCCGATTTTCGGGGCGGGAGCCGATCTCTCTATTGCGGACGAATGTAACATCAGCATGGAAAGCTACTCGAATTTCCCCCACACCTTCGGAGGTGAAGGAGCGAGCTGTACCTTGCTAATGGGGGATTACAATTTTACGGTCCTAGACTATGAAGTTTTCACCTTAGCTCAATTTTGAATCTTTCCAATATTCAAGCCTGATTCGTTATTAGATTAGATACTTCATGTGTACAGAGTATCCTCCCATGCCCCCTTCCGCATGAGGGGATCTGTGAATATTTCAGCCGCTTCCACGTCGTTCTGCATCGTAACTCCGGACCGGTTATCAGTCCCTCAGTCTTTTAGCTATTCAACAGGAAGGTCCACTCGACTGTTCATTCATCAACAATTCATAGGCGGAGCCAATAAAGTCTGAGAAACTTCGCGTGATAAGTTGAGCACTTAATTGTTGGTGTTGTCATAGACTTTCAGTCAGACCTGCTCGGTGGGGGCGAAAAAGCACACAAAACACCGTCGTCTCGAGGATTTTGATACGAAAATCTCCACTTCATCGATCTGATGATGATGAATTAAGGATATTCGGGGATCTTGTGGGTTCCTGTGGGACACGCATCCCTCCATTATCAGGCGGCGAGAGTACGCAGAATATCCAATTAACCTATGACTTCACTTCATGAAACTCTTTCTTTCCGAATGTTTTGAAGACTTGATGGCATTCGACATTCGATACGAAGTGCAAACGACAGGATTCGAGTACGACACTCAGAGTTGCTGGTCGTCTTTTGAGTCCGCGAGTGGGGGACTCCGGGACGATGGAACCTCGCATACTCAAATAGTCTCTGATTGAAATTCGGTTCCCAAAGCCTGAGAAACAGATCTTGTGAGCTGCCTAGGAACGCCGGTTCCTCACTTCTCGGCTTTGAAGGGGTTTTCTCGCTATACGGCGAAGCCACGAGCCCGGCGCCTCGATCGAATCGTTTACATCAGAGACTCCATGCCAGGACCAGGGAACTTATTAGCGGGGATTCTCAGAACTCTGTGGACCGAATTGTCTTCTCCAAGAGGTCCCTCCTCTACGGGGTCAAGCGATATGTCGTATCAATTATGACTCATGAGCTGATTGGATGTAGGCCTAGGCTCCGTCGGGACTCGATGCGATTCAGGACTCTGACTGAGTTGATGTAGAATTTCTTGGGAGACCTTGCGGGACTTCCTATCTGGTATCATCATTTAGAGACTTTATTCATCGTACTACATCGTGACCCTTACCGGTCCATTGACTTTATTAGGCGCAAGAGTGACTGATGTGTGGAAAAGCGCTGGACTGCGAAGTAATTCGATACCTACGGTAGCCGGGATATCACCCGAGACCTTGTCGAAAGCGCGGCTTAGCATAGCGTATTCGGGGAGCTTCGCGTGGCCATCTGACGCCAGCACGCTCTTTTCAGCGCTTACCAAAAAATGTAGCAACCTCTACACACCCGATTACATGGATGTGACGGAGCTCAGCAGAACCACAGGGAGCGGGCCAAATTCGAATAGAATACCTTAGAAATGCGCGAATTCGCATTTTCGACGTTTCACAGATTCGTTGAATCAAACGAAGTTGAGCGAAGCATGCATCCGGGACCTTGCCAACATGACCGCCCGAGACGTCGTCCGGTACAATTTTGATTGATCCATTATGTAATGAGCTCGGCGAGGTCTGTCAAGAGATAAGTCCCGCGAATGACAGTAATTAGCGGGTTTCAAGCTAGGAGAGGGCTAGTTTCCCCCAGGGAACGTTACGGCGTCGATTTTCTGCGTTCTCGAGTCATCCCGATGATGAGCGAATAGAGCGATTTTCGAGAAACGGAACTGCACAGAGAACAGATCATTGAATCTGCTATATTCGTGTCGTTAGCTTCCGAGTCCGACTCAGTCACGTATCCCTTGAATCTAAACGAGTCCCAGAAAGCACGGAACTTGAGCACACGTTTGTCCCGATAAGCTTACCGCTGGGACGAAAGGAATGGTATGGGAGAACGGTGCTACTTTTCGGGTGCCATAATTATTCTCGGACTACCCGGTCCGGAGAAGCAATCTCCCACTCACACGAATCTCGGGGCAGCTCGAACTTCTAGTGGAATGACTGTGATCCGAATTACTCGAAGTACGCTTCCCGATTCGAGGCGGAGTATTTCGCGAATCGACCGTCGTCGGGAGCTAGAGCTCACAAGCAGAATAGAGAAAACTCATTTCCTCAAGATATATTCCGCTGAATGACGGTCTGCAGGGGCCGTCGGTAGTCACAATCAGTCACGATAGATTGGGAGATGACTGTGAGCATCTTTTTGGTGTGAGATGAGTTTCGCTCCCAAGGGTTACGGTACAGTCTTGCGTAAATCAAGTCATCCCTCGGCCGGCTGTTTCTCTTCGACTCGTTCATCCTTCCCCCTTCCCCCCGCCCAACTCGTAGAAGGCCACTCAGGCCGTCATGATCGTTCAGATTGCGGCATCGGATCGTTCAGGGGGCCGTGTATAAAGTCTCGACACGTTCCCTGGTCGTGGCTTCATCATAGATTATGAGGACAGATCCTGAAACGCAATTCTACATCTCTAACTTCGTTATGGGCGGTTACGAGTCGGAGTATTCCCACTTTTCCATGCGAAGTTTTTTGCAGTTTCCGTTGGGGAGCGATACGCTAATAGATCATCAGCAATCGCAGGTTATCGCGTTACAGAGAGAGAGCGGAGATCAATCACAGTTACAGCAGAGAGCCGGGTTCGCGTCGTCAGCGAATCGTCGAGGAGCCTATAAAAACGCCGGCACCAATTATTCCGGCAGGCAACTGGTCTCCAGACATCAGACATGCTGCCAATCCGTTCAATCGTCCTGGCCGTTTGCGCCTCGCTGGCTATCGCTGCCCCCCTCAGTGGCAAGTAAGTGCTTCTCCAGTGACAACCACCTTCTGTGACTGTGCACCGCAACGATTCGGAATCGCCTCCAAAAAATAGTTCCATGCCTCTATCGAGAACCATTGCGGATCGCTCGGGCCCCGGATTATTCCACCCTCGAAGCTGTTCGGGCACTCGATCGAGGAATTCTCCCGACCTATCTAGACCCTTTGGAAGATTTTGATGGTCTCAATCCAGGACTCAGCGGAAGCGCCTCCGCGCTCCTCTATTACGACGCAGGTAACGGCAGAATCGTGTATTTCTTCCAGCGTTTGCCCTTCGAGCGGCGATTGCCCCACCTGTTACGGCCTCCACACCCCGGACCTCCGCGACATTGTTTGCAACTCGGAATCCGCATTCATTGTCGCCACCGGTGTCGATACAGATGGTGAGCGCTGGACGTCTCCTCGTCGTTGGCAAGACATCTTCGGAGCTCATGGACATCGCTACGCTGTCGAGCACTTCCCCATTGACGAACGTCACTGGGACAAGGCTGACAGCGAATGCAGAACCTACTACGCGAAGCCCGCCTATGAAATCACCAAGGGCCAGGCTCCTCGCCGTGTCCAGACTCCCGGAGTTGCTGGCTTCAAGATGAACCCCGAGTGCAGTTGCATTGGTCTTATCGCCGAGGCCGGTTACGCCGTCGTGGCATTCAAGAGCCGCGCTATCAACCACTTCGATGAGCTCGAGACCCAGGCCCTCAGCCGAGATGTCGTTGTCGTGCCTCTGCCTCGCGGTGAATTCAAGATCCCCACTTGCGCTGCCTCTTTCAACGAGGACAAGACCACCATCTCCACCGAGAAGCTCCCCGCTGTCTTCGCCAACGATGAAGCTGAGCTCGAATGCGACAAGGTCTCCTCCTGCCCCAAGTGCGAGGTCCTCCACAGCACTGAGCAGCTCAGGGATATCTGCCAGTCTTCCAAGGAACTCATGATCGTCAAGCGAGCTCTCTCTCGCGATACCGCTACCAGCCCCAACGCCCCTTGGCATATGCCCAAGATCGAGGTTTACGGTAAGAATATTGTCATCATCAGCATGCGTATATTGAGCTCTATGAATTACTTCGTTCACTGGTCCTTCCGAAATCAAAGCATCATCCATCCTCTTCAGTTGACAAGGACAGCACCCAGGAAGATTCCTACGAGACCCGCATCAAGGTTTCTGCTCGCACCGAGAAGGGTTGTGCCAAGCCCAACTTCCACGTTCTCACCGCCTTGACTGCCAACCTCGAAGGCAAGTCCATGCTCCGAGGAATGCAGCTCGGTGAGCAGTGCCAGTGCGACTTCATCCGCAAGCAACACGGATACGCTCTTCTCCGATCTGAACGTGAACTTTCCGAAACCGATGCCCTCGGAGAGCAGGAAACCATCCTCATGATCCCTCGTGGTCAGTACATCATCCCCCAGTGCCCCAGGGAGGATGAATCCGAACGTTCCGACAGCGACGAAGACGAGAAGGCTCAATGCGAGGCGCCCGAGGACTCCTGCCCCATCTGCGAGGAATATATGTCTGAAGTTGAGCTCGAGGAGACCATCAAGTCCGACGATGCTCTCGTCGTCAAGGTAAGGTGTCGGATACGCATACGATGACTCCAGACTACCTGAAGAACTGAAGAGCTATCGGCAAAAAAGTACTTCTCTAATTTCTTCGGGTACGGGCTTCCAGATGCAAACCAACAGCCACCTCAAGAAGTCCGAAGACTCCGATGAGGTCAGGTGCGCTACCGCCGAAGTCGTTTCTGTCATGAAGGGCCAGAAGGAGAACATCAAGTCCGAGGTTACCTTCACTCTTCCCGAGAAGTGCCGCTGTGCTGCCATGTCTAACTGTACGCATACCTTCCATACTGAGTATGATCCTAGAAACGTATGGGGCGGTATCATTTAGGTGTCTAAGAGTTTATTGATGTGTTTCTTCCGTCCAGATGGTCGCCAATTCTACGCCGTTGTTAAGAAGGACGCCATTGAAGGCGAACGTCTTGAGAAGCTCCCCCTCAACGAGAAGGTGTACATTGTTGGTCAGAGTTTCCGCTCCCACAATCTCCTCAAGAGATGGTTGAACCCTGAGAGCATCGATGAGGCTGAAGACCGTTCAGGCTATGACGGGTGAGCTCTCTGTCTGGAACTTGAATGTTTTCGCGGATCAGGGATAACCCTTCCAGATTCCGTGTCCAGAGGGAGGATACCCGGAATCATCCAGGTCCTCGACACCGAAACGGGAGAGATCCTGACTACTCGGATCATCATAATTCGCCGAACTTCTACTTCTCGCCTTCTCTTCGATTGCGGCTGCCGTAGTTCACGAATTATCAAGACTTGCAGGATCTGAAGGAGGTTGAAGAAATTTACGACGATCCTCTTTCAGATACGCTTCTTACGCTCCCCCTGCATACGCCGCTCCTCCTCCGGCTTACGCTCCCGCCTACGCCGCATACGCTCCTCCCCCTTACGTTGCTCCCGCGTACCCCCCTCCTCCCGCCTATCTCCCCCTCCTCCCCCTCCCGCCTACCTCCCTCCTCCTCCCGCCTATCTCCCTCCCCCTCCTCCTCCCGCCTATCTCCCTCCCCCTCCTCCTCCCGCATACCTCCCTCCTCCTCCCGCGTATCTCCCCCCTCCTCCCGCACTATCCCCCTCCTCCTCCTCCTCCTGCGTACGCTCCCGTGAGCTACGCTCCGCTCTACGCTACCACGTATAGCTACATGCAAGCTGCCGCTCCTCCCTACGGAATGTACGTGACTATTGACTATGAACCCACTTACGCACCTCCCCCCGCTTCCAGGTTAGCCGGAAGCAACCGGTAGAATAGGTAGTTGGCTTTCTAAGGCACAACGATGCGGCTCGAAACGTTGACCGAATCCGCGTAAAATTCACGGCGAAGGTGCTGAACGTCCCTGACGCGATGTCTAGACATTACCGCGAGTATACGAGGGCTCCGAGAGGCTGTGAGCAACATTAAAGTTAGGGTTTGTACAATTGCAGACAAACCACTATTAGTGTAAAAGTATCTAGCACGGCTGACTCCAATAGCACTTACGCAATTCCCTCGTATACTCGCAGGTATGTCACATCCGCATGGATGAGTACGTTGTCGCTGCCGAGGAGTCCCTCCGTTTTCTCTTCTCCAGAGGGAGTGCTTGCCTAGAATCGCATTTCTTCTGCCGTCTCCTAACGGCAATCGTTTTTCCAGTCCTTACGCTGATTACGCAGCCCCCCGCCCCTCCTCCCGCATACTTGCCCCCTGCGCCTGCGTACCCGCCCCCTGCGTACCCTGCTCCTCCTCCTCCTCCTCCTCCCGCGTATCCTGCTCC